TTTTCAAGAGTATTCGGTCACTAAAATATGAGTTTAAAGAGCAAGTCACCCCCTACCACAGTCTCACTCCACTCCCACATCCTGTTTGAACAAATCAACAAATGCTGTTGCCTGGCTGACCGAGCCGCTAACAAATACACACGTACACAAGCTCACATTGACACTGTGATATCCGTGGTACCAGCTAATGGGTGTGTTCGAGATGAGCCAGTTATTAAGTTATTAAACAACACTAGGGTTGGGGCAGATCTGAGGTCATGGGGATGCTGATTCCATATGTGTGCAGCATAGTAACTAAAGGTGTCTCCACCATGTTTTTTTCTGACCCGAGATTCTACCAGCTGATTGTTTCCTACAGATCTCAGAGCCCTTCGTCTTCTTCGTCTTCCTCCGCTTATCCGGGTCCGGGTCACGGGGGCAGCATCCCAATTAGGGAGCTCCAGGCCGTCCTCTCCCCGGCCTTGTCCACCAGCTCCTCCGGCAGGACCCCAAGGCGTTCCCGGACCAGATTGGAGATGTAACCTCTCCAACGTGTCCTGGGTCGACCCGGGGGCCTTCTGCCGGCAGGACATGCCCGAAACACCTCCCCGGGGAGGCGTCTAGGAGGCATCCTGACCAGATGCCCAAACCACCTCAACTGGCTCCTTTCGATCCGGAGGAGCAGCGGTTCTACTCCGAGTCCCTCCCGAATGTCCAAGCTCCTCACCCTATCTCTAAGGCTGAGCCCGGCCACCCTACGGAGGAAACTCATTTCGGCCGCTTGTATCCGCGATCTCGTTCTTTCGGTCATTACCCAAAGCTCATGACCATAGGTGAGGATTGGGACGTAGATCGACCGGTAAATCGAGAGCCTGGCTTTCTGGCTCAGCTCCCTCTTCCCCACGACAGATCGGCTCAGCGTCCGCATCACTGCAGACGCCGAACCAATCCGCCTGTCGATCTCCCGATCCCTCCTACCCTCACTCGTGAACAAGACCCCGAGATACTTAAACTCCTCCACTTGAGGTAGGACCTCTCCCCCGACCCGGAGGTGGCAAGCCACCCTTTTCCAGTCGAGAACCATGGTCTCAGATTTGGAGGTGCTGATCCTCATCCCAGCCGCTTCACATTCGGCCGCGAACCTACCCAGCAAGAGCTGAAGGTCAGAGCTGGATGAAGCTAGGAGGACCACATCATCCGCAAAAAGCAGAGATGAGATTCTCCTGCCACCAAGCTCGACACACTCCACACCACGGCTGCGTCTAGAAATTCTGTCCATAAAAGTGATGAACAGAACCGGTGACAAAGGGCAGCCCTGGCGGAGTCCAACCCTCACTGGGAACAGGTCCGACTTACTACCGGCTATGCGGACCAAACTCACGCTCCTCTGGTAAAGGGACTGAATGGCCCTTAACAGAAAGCCACCCACCCCATACTCCTGGAGCGTCCCCCACAGGGTGCCCCTGGGGACACGGTCATAAGCCTTCTCCAAATCCACAAAGCACATGTGGATTGGTTGGGCAAACTCCCATGCCCCCTCCATCACCCTTGCAAGGGTATAGAGCTGGTCCACAGTTCCACGGCCAGGACGAAAACCACATTGCTCCTCCTCTATCTGAGATTCAACTATCGATCGGACCCTCCTCTCCAGTACCTTGGCGTAGACCTTTCCAGGGAGGCTGAGGAGTGTGATCCCCCTATAGTTGGAACACACCCTCAGGTCACCCTTCTTAAAGATGGGGACCACCACCCCGGTCTGCCACTCCCTAGGAACTGCCCCCGATGACCACGCAATGTTGTAGAGACGTGTCAACCATGACAGCCCTACAACATCCATAGCCTTGAGATACCCAGGACGAACCTCATCCGCCCCCGGGGCTCCGCCGCTGTGTAGTTGTTTGACTACCTCAGCAACTTCTGCCCCCGAGATCGGACAGTACATCCCCAGGCCTCCCAGCTCTGGTTCCTCCTCGGAATGCGCATTGGTGGGATTGAGGAGCTCCTCAAAGTATTCCTTCCACCGTCCGACTATAGCCTCAGTTGACGTCAGCAGCTCCCCATCCCCACTGTAAACAGTGTGAGCGAGTTGCTGCCTTCCTCTCCTGAGGCGCCGGACAGTTTGCCAGAACCTCTTTGGAGCCGATCGATAGTCTTTCTCCATGGCCTCACCAAACTCCTCCCACGCCCGAGATTTTGCCTCGGCAACTGCCACTGCTGCACCCCGCTTGGCTATCCGGTACCTGTCTGCTGCCTCCGGAGACCCACAGACCAGCCACGCCCTGTAGGCCTCCTTCTTCAGCCTGACGGCTCCCCGAACCTCTGGTGTCCACCAGCGGGTACGGGGGTCTCAGAGCCCTGCTGGGTGTATATACAGGAATGAGATTAGATATGCATTTTGGTCCCATGACATTGAGTGATTTATAAGCTAGTAGTAGCACTTTGAAATCTATTCTGTAGTTTACTGGTAACCAGTGTAGGGATCTAAGAACAGGAGTGGTGTGCTCCGTTCTCTTAGTTCCTGTTAAGACTCTAGCAGCAGCATTCTGAACAAGCTGCAGTTGCTTCACAGCTTTTTTGGGAAGACCAGTTAGGAGACCATTGCAATGGTCCAGCTGACTGGAAATAAAAGCTTGAAAAAGTTTCTCTAAGTCTGGTATGGACATGAGACTTCTGACTCATGATATTTGACGAAGGTGTTGAAACTCTGATTTAGTTATGGTTTTAATATGTCCAGAGAAGCTCAGGTCAGAGTAAATAATAACACCTAGATTTCTAATCTGGGGTTTTATCCTTATTCCCCTGGAGTTCAGCTGAGCAATAACATCCATTCTATCCTTCTTGTTGCCAAAGACAATAATTTCAGTCTTATCTTTGTTTAACTGAAGGAAGTTTGACTGCATCCAGTTGTTTACTTGTTCTAGGCACTGACAGAGTGAGTCCAGTGGCAGACAGTCACTAGGGGATAGGGATAGGTGGATCCAAGTGTCATCAGCAAAGCTATGATAGGCGATGTTGTTATTAAGTATGACCTGACCCAGGGGGAGCATATATAAATTAAAGAGTAGTGTTCCTAGAATTGAGCCTTGGGGGACCCCACAAGTCATGGTAGTTGCTTTTGATTGCCAATCCCTAATAGACACAACATAGCCCATGTCTTTGAGATAGGACTGGAACCAGCCAAGCACTGTGCCTGATAGTCCCACCCAGTTTGTGAGTCTTTCCAGAAGGATGTTATGGTCCACAGTATCAAAAGCTGAACTGCACAAAAAATAGAGCAAACGTGGACAGAAACGACGGGAACTGAGGGATTAGAGGTGGTGACCCCATGAAGAGGTGGAGGAGAATGAAGGATAAAATTGTCCATGTTATAAAGTCTCTGAAATATATAAGCAAATTAGTAAATACACTATCGTGGACAGGATACACGAGTGTTATGGTGGCAGGATACCACAGAAAAGCGCTACGCCCTCCGTTGTCCATGCAGAGAATTGCTTTGCAACACTCAGCTGCCTGAACAGAAGTTGCAAGTGAAAACCTTTACGACACTCCATGTGTGTCTCTCCGTTGCGGAGCTCACAGAAAAGTAAATCAGGCTTTAGCTCATAGCGATGGCAGATTGAAATTCAAATGCAGTGCAGAGTTTTTACATGAAGAGGGCGCAACACTGACAGTTTTAGGCAGAATATTTAAATATTAACAAAGATGCACTAACGTTCCAAATTACTAACTACACGTGTCTACAGCATGGTTAGATACTCATTTATATAGTTTATCAGCAAAAACACAGTTGATGTGTGGGTGACTTGCTCTTTAAATAATCAATGCTAATAAAAGCAATTCTTTTTTAACCAGTACCTGGTTAAAACATACAGGGGCAGCATACTGCTGGGTGTAGTAGTGTACTGTATACTACTGAACATGATTTGGTGTATGCAGGTTAGTTATGACATTGAGAACTACTAAGTTGTACACTGATTTATACATTGATGTGTATACTGGAACAGCCTGTTGGTGGTAGGACATAACAAGCATTGGCTTCTTCCTACTCATTTTCAAATTGAATATGAAAATAATTTAATCTATTTTATTTTGTTATTATTTCCAATTTCATATTTTTCCCAGTTGACATTTCTAAGGTTTTATATATTTGAAATAAAGACTTCATCGAAGCCCTTACCAGTCGATCTACGTTCCTACCGTCACCTATGGTCACGAGCTTTGGGTAGTGACCGAAAGAACGAGGTCGCGGATACAAGCGGCCAAAATGAATTTTCTCCGAAGAGTGGCTGGGCTCTCCCTTAGAGACAGGGTGAGGAGCTCGGTCATCCGGGAGGGGCTCGGAGTAGACCCGCTGCTCCTCCACATCGAGAGGAGCCAGTTGAAGTGGCTCGTGCATCTGGTCAGGATGCCTCCTGGTGAGGTTTTCCGGGCAAGTCCATCTGGGAGGAGGCCTAAAGGTAGACCCAGGACACGGTGGAGGGACTATGTCTCTCACCTGGCCAGGGAACGCCTTGGGATTCTCCCGGAGGAGCTGGCCCAAGTGGCTGGGGAAAGGGAAGTCTGGGCCTCTCGCCTTAGGCTGCTGCCCCCACAACCCGACTGGATAAGCGGATGAAAATGGATGGATGGATTTAATCATCATCATTATCGTCAAGTGCAAAGTTGTTTTCAAACCACCTTTGTGTTTTAGGGCACTTTTTAAATTTTCATGGGCTTGTTTTCATCAGCATTTACTAGATGTTCATTTCTTCGCTAATCCTCTCTGAGAACATGAGTTGGCTTACTGAGGAAGCAAAAGCATGCATGATCATGCAAATACGATATTTTCTCAACAACAAAAACAAGCCTCTGATGTGAGTGAGTGGAAAAATGGAGAGAGATGGGGTTAAAGAGGCCTCAACAATAAAAAATGATGCGTACGTCATGACTGCAGTATCTAAAGGGCCTCTTTTTTAATTGCTGAAGCCAGTAGACTATTGTTTTTCTTCAATTTTTGAATTTCTAATAAAAGCGTGACTGACCCAGTTTGCCAAAGAGCTCCACACCCAGAGCAGCATAGATGAAGAAGAGCAGCATGAAGAGGAGGCCAAGATTTCCCACCTGGAGGGAAAACATGAGTTAGAAAACAGAAAAATTTGTTTTAGTTTGAAGCTCGGGGAGAAAAGAAGGATTAGGATTTGTGTCGTGGTTTCATTCTATTCCTATTTGACCTCCTTTTATAGAAACTGCACTAACCAAATGTTTCCCTTTAAGTTAAACTCTTAGTTTAAAGGTAAACAGCAAACTCACAGCTGCTAAAGCGAGGTCATCACAAAGACAGCTGCTGAAACCTGCAACCCATTGCTTCCTACAACACAAATCTCTCGGTTTCCTTTAAAAATATGAATATGCATTTACATACACAACGTCATCTAAATTAGGGTGATCATACGTCCTCTTTCCCCCGGACATGTCCATTTTTCACTCTCTGTCCGGGCCGTCCGGGTGGTTTCCTACATTGATCAAAATGTCCGGTTTTTCATCCAGGAGCAGCTGATCGAGTTATGGGGGGCTGGATATCTTTCATTGAAGGATCCTATTTCTACCTATAAATATTTATATATATTTCTATTTATAATGTTTATGGACTCTCAGCGTAGCGGGGATTCTGTTGAGCAGAGAGGACAGAAAGCGCTGATCGTTGGTGCGCCCGCTGCGTCCGGCGCACGACACATTCTCAAGGTGGGGCAACAAAACATTATTATTAACACATGATCGTTCATATCTGTTTAAATCCTCTGGTCCTCTGTCTTTTAATCGTTCCTGATTCGCTCCGCTCATCGTGTGCTGCGGGGATTTCACCTCATTGACGCAGCATCGAAACGCGCACTTTGCTTTGCGGTCAGGAGATCCCTTTGATCTGCTCAAAAGTAACTGATGAGGTGAAAAAGTAAGAATCCAGGCAGCAGATTTTCTGGAGAGTTTAGAGGAGATGCAGGAAGACGAGAGACAGACAGGACAGGAAAATAGTTAAATAAAAACAAGAAAACAAAACAATGTGTTTGAAAGTAAAATGTAGGACGATTTATCTCCACTACACATTTTATAAAACAATAAATTATACACGTCATATTTATACATTTGATACAATTCAGATGATCTGAATCAGATCACCTTCAAAACTCAGTCACACACCCAGGGCCGTTTCAAGGCATTTTGGGGGCCAAGGCAAAACGGAACACCCCCCATCACTGGGTTCCCCCAGAAGCCTTTGTGTAATTCCTACCCTGTCCAGGAGAGTTAATTATACAGTTTTTAGAAAAACACCTCAGACATCACTGACATGTTCTAATATTGCCCGACGAAAAACAAAATTGTCGGACACGCCGTCTCATCTGCTTCTTTTCTAAACCCACAAAAATCTGTCAGTTTCAAAACCATTTGAAAGATACTATTAGTGGATTCTAAGAAAGTTTCCATAACAAACTTTTTTTTATCATTGACTCTGTCATCTAATCTCACAGCTGAAACAAGCATCCTTAATAATCTGTGCACAGGAAGCTTACCGGCGCTGTAGTAAAACGAAAGGTATAATCATTTCTTATTAATAAAACGTTGTAGCAGCACTAAAGCAACAGACAAATGAGATGTTGCAATAAATATGCTAAATATTTACATATAAATTGTTTTAAAGCCCTTTTGTTGGCAGAATCTGATATTAATTTTAGCTTTTCACCTGGGGTAAAAAATGCATCCCAACGTGGTTTGTGTGGTTTTGCCATAGTGTGACGTAGAGCTGGGCAATAAATAAAAAATGTATCATTATAAAAATGTCTGACTCTTATCGAGATCATTTTTCCCATGTCAATAAATTTGATAATAAGAAATGAAAAGATGTGTGTAGGTTTGCAACATTCATGTCCCTTTAAGAAGCTGTAGCACGTTGAGTCACATAAAAATGTGACTCAAGGTGCTACATGTGACAGCCCCATCTAGTGGACAACTGTTGTCTCTGCGCAGACCCGTAGTTAACGTTCATTTATTGTTATCGAGATAAAATTGTGATATTGATTTTAGGCCATATCGCCCAGCCCTAGTGTGACGTCATTGGTAGGCACAGATGACCTGTCCTCTTTTTTGGAAATGGAAATATGGTCACCCTAATTTAAATGTTAAAATTTCAAAACAAAAATAAATCCGGCAAAGTGTTAGACAAATGAGCAAAACAGAAGACTGCTTTACTTTATTTAATCTTTTTTATTCTTTGTTCTTGTGGTTTAGGACTGCTGTCATAAAGATCTCCCAAAACCATGTTGTTTTTGTTGTTGTTATTGTCTTCTCCATCTAACACTAAACCGCTCAAAGTCTTTCCGGCAGGGGGCTAAGCCCGCTGAGTGTCTCTCTACTAACATAGAGCACTGTGACTGGCCAGACCTAAAACTGTTCAGGCCAGTGGTGCATAACTAGACCAAACTGCCGAGCCAAATTCTTCAACAGGTTAAATAATTAGCTCCCTGATGCCAAAATGTGCTAGCAATGCTAACATCATGCCACAGATGGCAATTAAGCTGTTCTCTGTGTAAATCACCAATGCCCTACAGGCTATTTTAACAAACAAAAACTACCGATTGTCACCAATTAAAGACATATTTACCATTGCTTGCTTTCATTTTGTGATACTCCCTAAAGAGATCAGACCGTGTCACATCTAAAACGGTCTGGGTAGAAACAAGTCTCTGCTCATCAGAGGAAATGTTGCTGTTCTATGATCTCTTTGCTTTTGCAAATAATAAAGATTTTCAAACTCTTCACAACTTCACATCAGAGGGTCATTTGTGGGCAAGACGTTACAAATTATTTCCCTCATTGGTGGGTTGCTGGTCCGAATCCTGGCTCTGTCCGTCATTCTGCAATTGGAGACAACACCTCACCCTCCCTGCCTTCTGGGGCTGGTTCGAGGGCAGGTGATGCTTGTGTTCAGCAGCCAAAGGGCAGCTGTAGCTACAGTGTAGCTCATAACCATCAGTGTGTGTGTGTGTGTGTGTGTGTGTGTGTGTGTGTGTGTGTGTGTGTGTGTGTGTGTGTGTGTGTGTGTGTATAGTTATATTTTTAAGCCTTTTGGGGTCCCTTACTTGGGAAAGCACTAATCAAAGAAATAATCGTGTTTGGGTTTACCTGTGGCAGCGCTTGCATAACAGTATCCAGCAGAGCTCTCATCCCTTTTGCCATCTTCAGAAGTTTCAGCACTGCAGGAGAGAGAGGACACATTTACAGGCAGCCATGTATAAAACCAAACATTCTACTTGTTGGATTGAAATTTATGTAAGGGATCAAAAAACCTGTTTCAAAGACAAGAAGTGAAATCTGGTTGCAAACAAAAAAGCTCTGCTAGTGTGTGTGTGTGTGTGTGTGTGTGTGTGTGTGTGTGTGTGTGTGTGTGTGTGTGTGTGTGTGTGTGTGTGTGTGTGTGTGTGTGTGTCTGTACCTCTTGCTATTCTGAGTACTCTCATGATTCTGATGATGGTAGGGTTTATTGGGAGCGCTGCTTTCATTTTTAGTTCCTCCAGAGTGATGCCCATGATGGATAATGCAACAATAGCTACATCCAGCTGATTCCACCTACAACACCAGATGAGTCATTTTAGGTAAATAAAACAACAAACAAATAAGGAGTCGTATAGGGAAATTCACTTTTCCTGAAGGACCACCAACCTGCGAAAAAATACAGCCTTCCAAATTTCTTTTAACTTAGAAACTGTCAAGCTGTTTGTGTTTTTCATAATCTAAAAAGAAAATCTGACATATTATTATCATTCTGTAATGTTTTCTTTTAAGCTGGAAAAAGGGAAAACACAGTTTTGATCATTTAATTAAAGGAAACAATTATGTCAACTTTGAATATTCTGTTTCTTAAAATATACCCTCAAACTTCCCCCAAGATTTAGGAAATCCTTAAAGAGAGTGAGTTGATCCTTCACTCCCCCTCCTCCGTTTATGATATCGAGGTTGGTAAATCTGAATAATAAAAATGTGTTGGCTAAAAAAGGATCAGGAGGAGAGCAGGACGAGCTAGTAGCAGCTCTGCTTGACTTTTTTAGTAAACACTGAGCGTGTTTAAAATCAGAAGCCATCCACCCACTAATCCTAATGGTAGAGGAGACACGGTGTTTAACTTAGACATGACCCCAACAAGGCACCGTAGCATCAGATAAACACACATCAGACATTCTGAGTTTGTTTTACTTAAACAGAACCTCATTCTCTTGGAGGTGGAGACAGCTTGGGACAATTTTTTCACTTTTAATTTTGTGCCAGAAAAATAAAATGTAATTTACCAGCATGCTCTGTGTTTTACCTGTCTTTGAAAAACCTTTGGAAGCCAAACGCCACCAGTTTTAGCAGGGCCTCGAAGACGAAGATGAAGGTGAAGACATAGTTACAGTACTTCAGAACCTCCTCTAAATACTGAAAACAAAAATATACAAAAGAAAATAATGACTGACAGAGTACACTATACTATAAACACAACCTACACAACTTTATTTCTAAAATTATTGAGAACTAACTTAACTTCTTATTTTGTGTGTAAGAGTTTTTGAAATGTCTAATCTGGTGTGCAAATAAAAAAAAGGCCACTCGATTATCAACAAATTGTGTTGGTCAGCAGAATATTTCAATATTCCCTTTAGCATCAAAACTTTTGGTAGGAAATTGCAATTTGTTCTTATTTTGAAAGACACTGCGTCCATCTTGTAATTAAATTATCTGTGTGGTGCAGGGCCTACAGAGACCTTTGAAGGGGCTGGTGCTCAAAGTAAAAAAAATGGGGCACATATAGAGCAAAGTTTTTACACAGATTCACGATCCAACAAGTTAAAAAATTCAGATAATGAGACCCTTGATTTCAAACAACATAATGTAAACTAGGAAAAATGTAATTAATTAGGGTAACGTTGTTTCATAAACAATTGTTTTAGTTGTTAAAGCTGACTTATGTTACAACCATATTTTTGCCCCTGATCTGAATCCAAGTTGTTTGATTTTTGATTATCTTCCAATACTGAGTCCTGTTTTGATACCAGGTGGTGGTGCAATGCATTAAAAATGAATTAAAAAATGGAGAAAGTCCCATAGTCATCATCACATACTGGTGATCTCATTGGAACTATTTGGTGGTTTTATCCCCAATCCAACCCCTTAAAGATATTGGCCAGAGGCAAAATTCCTTCAAATGGCACGTGTGAAGAAGTATTAAAACCTCAGATGAAAAAGGTTTTTGGATTTTTGCGGCTGGAATTTTAAGAAAATCTGTTTTTTCTGGCGCGAGAAAAACAGAAACTAACTTCCGGTCTAAGCCCTGGGCAACTGGTGACGTTTCACAAGGTGCTATGCTGAAATACAATGCCTGACTCCAGTGTTTCTTCATTAGCGTTATAGCAGAGAACAGTGCGTCATCAGTCAGATGTAGCTTCTGAAGCCTCTGCTAATCGGTCAGATTTGTTTTTTTTTTTCTCTGGGATACGGCGACAAGAACGGATATTGGATTACCGGAGACGTTCAACCGAACTCCGTGCCCTGCAGCTGGATATCAGAACCGGAGGTGCAGACATGCTTTGGACTGTTTCACTCAGAAATCCGCGGCCCGATTAGGACACCGGGGAGGATTCTGTTCCATCTTCGGAACCAAAATCGGTACAGGTTGTTAAAGTTTGTTAATTTCATGTCTGTGCTCCGCCAGTAGCTTTCAGTTAAGTTCTCAGCTGATTAGCTCCATCATAATGTCCCAATATAATTCAGTAATCTACAGATGAGTAAAATAACGTGTTGCCACTTTACCTCTGGGTGTATTCATTGATATAAGATCGGAAAATGTTTAACCGATTGCTTACCAGAATGCATTTTCCTGATACTAACTCGCAAGCTCGTTGTTTTCTAATCCAGGATGACACGGAGGTTCTACCGGTCCTTTAGGAGGATCTATTGTTGAAAAATAGGATCAACTTTTAGATTATATCTGTGTGTGTGTGTGTGTGTGTGTGTGTGTGTGTGTGTGTGTGTGTGTGTGTGTGTGTGTGTGTGCACGTGTCGTAGCTTTCACAAATTGCTTGTTCATTACTGGAGCTAACACGGTTAGTGCTGCGTCAGTCATGCAAACGGGACTCGCCTGCTGGAGTCCAGAAGTACCGGTGTGGTTCTAAATGGATTTATAGATGTAGGTTATTATTTTAGATCAAACCTATGTTATTTAAAAATACACGTAGGACACGGACATATGGCTCAGACGTTTAGCTGCAGCTGTAAATACAATTTTCTGTTTTAATTAGGAGCATGATAACAAAATACAATGATTCACCATGCTAGCAACAGCAGCTACCTAGTATGAAATGTGAGTGACGTATGCAAAACCTAACCCTAACCCTAACCACGAAGCCTTTGTGCTTAGGGCACCAAAATAGCTAGCAACGACCCTGCTAATAGCGATTTTCAGAGTAATGTGAATTACATCACCTAATACCTCGTTGGAAAGCCTGTTTTATGTGCTTTTAGAAACCGGTGGAATTATTTTAATTCGGTTAGTAATTCAGAAGTTATCACGCGGAGAATCTCTCATGTCCTCTTTTCTGTCTCAGACATGCTGGCTTTGCTCAACACACACACACACACACACACACACACACACGCACGCACGCACACACACACACACACACACACACACACACACACACACACACACACACACACACACACACACACACACACACACACTCCAACCATGGACTCAAATGGTAATGTAAAAAAAGCTCTGATTGAAGGCAGAATAAAAAAACTCACAGCTAGATGAGCGCGCAGACTCCTGCCAACTAGCAAATAACCGGTTTCAGTCGTCTCCATGGCGACAGATTTAGCGCGACAGCAGGGACAGCCAATCACACGTTGGCATGATGCGGCAGAGCTAATCAGTGAGCTTGTGGGCGGGTCTAAGGGTTCAGCTTGAGGAGACTGCTTCCACATGGTCCTAGTGCCTAACCTGTATCCAAATATGACAGTTTTGGATGGTAAAAGGGCACCTTGGGCACTTCGGACAAAAGGGGCAGGTGCTTAATCAGCCCCCCTCCGCCTGCATGTGCCTGGTGTGTTGAGTATTGTTCTGGTTTAGCTCTGTGAATATTTTTATGTGAATAAAGGTAAAACTGAACTAAAAAAATAGTTTGTTTCCACACCTCAGTTTCTTTGCTGTTTAATTTGGTCTTGCAAATGCAATCTTTCGGTTTCTGCGCTTTTTTGGACATGTTTGTGTAAACTTGATTAAATCTAGAATCTAAGTCTTGATTTACCGGTCGATCTACATTCCTATCCTCACCTATGGTCATGAGCTTTGGGTAGTGACCGAAAGAACGAGATCGCGGATACAAGCGGCCGAAATGAGTTTTTTCTGCAGAGTGGCTGGGCTCTCCCTTAGAGATAGGGTGAGAAGCTCAGTCATCTGGGAAGGGCTCGGAGTAGATTCGCTGCTCCTCCACATCGAAAGGAGGCAGTTGAGGTGGTTCGGGCACCTGGTCAGGATGCCTCCTGGACGCCTCCATGGTGCGGTTTTCCAGGCAAGTCCAACTGGGAGGAGGCCTAAAGGGAGACCCAGCACATGTTGGACAGACTGTGTCTCTCACCTGGCCAGGGAACGCCTTGGAATTCCCCCAGAAGAGCTGGCCCAAGTGGCTGGGGAGAGGGAAGTCTGAACCTCTCAACTTAGGCTACTGCCCCCGTGACCTGACTCCAAATAAGCGGATAAAAATGGATGGATGGAGCTAAGAAAAACGTCTTAGTGCTGCCCCTTGTGTGTTAAATTTGTGATTGACTGGGGCTGGTACTTCACGTCATCTGTACAGTCTCCTCCCACTCCCCCTTCCTCCCGGAATGGAAATTCCCCACACTTGGCCATGCCACACCATGCCTTCTAGCAACGCCCACTTTCAGAGCATTTTTTAAATCTTGACTAGGGGTGGAGTCAGGTGCGCAGATAGGGTGGGGGACGGGGGGATCTGTCCCCCCCAGATTCAGATCGACCCCGATCCCCCCCCCCCCCCCCCCCCCAACTAAGGCCAGAAAGAAAACAAAATCGGAGGTTAAGCGCTTGCAGCTGCTTTTTCCAATTACATTGAACGCAGCATGACGTAAACAAACACCGACTCCAGAGGTACCAAAGTGGTTGCTGCTGGGATGCAGGATGAAGCGAAAAAGGCAAGCAACGATTACTGCGTATTTAAAAAAGACCAACAGTGTAAGTAGGCGGGACCGATCTGTCTGTTTATGCATGTTGGTTATAGTTTCAGTACGTTGTTGTCAGTGTTGGGACTTACTCGTTATAAGCGCCAAAGCCTCATTGCTGACTTTAACAAGTCTCATCTACAAATACGATCCCTCATGAAGTTACTACTTTACACCAGAAGATAGTGGAGATGTGGAACTTTTAGGCTGAGCAAAGTTTGGGAGTTTTTAGAGCTTGAAAAATGCCTCCCGCCGCCGAGAGCTCCCGGGAGAGGAGAGGAGGAGATGTGCGCAACATGAATAGTGTAAATATTAGATAAAACATATAACTGCTGGCAGTGTGGTTCACTCGTTTAATCAATAAATTTGTAGTGGTCACTAGTAGGAATGAATGCCTTGTAAGTCGTACTCTGAGGAGGAAAAAACTCAAATGCACCTGAATCAGGAAGTAAAAGTCAGCTGGAGGAGAAAGTAGCTTGACATGATAAGACTTGTAGTCTTTTTTCCCCCTCATATTTGGACATCTTACCCCAGATTGGATAACAACACCGCAACTCTACCAATGACTTTGTTCAGTTTGCAACATTGATGTTTTATCTCCACAAATAACACAAGCTAGAAGGAGTTCTGCTGTGTGGTGGAGTTGCTAATGCTAATGGTTAGCTTCTACTAGCTGTTTCCTGGATGCAAAACGTACAACAGCCTTACCTGCTGCGAGACAAGATGGTTGAGCTCATCAGTGTTAAGTGAATGTGTGATGTAGATATGTCAGGGTTTTCAAATCCTAGAGTTTCTATTTTCTATCAGAAGCTAATGCAGGAGATAGGTGTAGGAGACTATTTTCATGTTCACGTGCATAACAAATTCAGAGTGACCAATTATAATCAGGAATAATAATTAAAACGCTGTTTTCAGTGAACCACATCAAGCGTTTCATCCTCGAGTTCCCTTCTTACTGGAAGCGTTTCAGATGTGAATTTGGCAGCAAAAGCTTTCAACGCAGCATTCCATGCAGAGAATAGCAAGACTATGCGTAGTTTTGGCTGTTGACGCCATAAAAAGCAAGGAGAAAAATAGCACCACGTGTCTAAAAAGGTCGATAGTATATTTTCAGTTCTGTTTACGTCCGCTACAGAGATTTTTACAGGAAGTAATGTGCTTTTATTATTATTTTTTTAATAGTTAAGCAAATGGAAATCTGCTCGTGACTTATTTTAAAGGTTTCCAGATGTTTTACACTGCTTTCATGTTTGACTTCCTCTCTGATCTGATAGGCAGAGGTTGTCCTGTTCTGGAAGTGTAGAGTGTAAAATATAGACTTGATGTGTAAGCAGTGTGTACCGACGCTTCTGGGATGCTTCCAAAACATAACACCGCAGGAGTGAAGAAAAGAAACGCTCTGGCCAGAGGGGTACTGGGTCTAAAATTCTGCCCTGGCATTTGTCCATTCCACAGGATCGAGTGCGGGGTGTGTGTGTGTGTTGTGCACATTGAAAATCATTAACTTAGTTCTTAGTGGGGGGAAAAACAGTGCTGCAGCATGGTTGATCTCTTGACGTGGGATCGCCGAATGCGGGGTGGAGGTTTTAGTGGACCAGACCGGCTCTCAATGGGTTAATGGCCCACCAGGAAGATGCCCGGTATGCCAGATGGCCAGTCCATGCTGGCAAAATAGCATGATGCTATTTTACAGAGGAACATGAAATTACATTATGACAAGACTTGAGATTATCAAGTGCACAACCAAGTTTACTTACCTGTTTCTGGCTCAGCCTTGTCTGCTAAGTATGATAGGCCTTTAGAGGTCCGTGAAAATATAGCGGACAATGATTATGTGATCTATACCACTAATTGAAGACACAAGGTATATATCTGTACCACTCTTAACCTGCACAAGAGCCAAGATTGATTTAATGGGGAATACATTACCTGTGGCTGATTGTAGTGCTCAATGCTCATTGTGAAGACGTTGATGCAAATGATAAATGTAATGAAAAGGTCCAGATAGTGGCTTGTGCACAGTGTGTGGATGGACAGACGCAAAGGAGAGTAGTCTGCGTAGTACGGCCTCTGCTTGGCTTCTGAAACACAAACAAATCCCACAAAGAGATAATGAGAGACTGAAAACTGAGTGACTCGACTGTAAGTGCTCAGTAACGTGCACAGTCAGAGGGGTCACCACGCTTGTTTCACAGGCTGGAAACATTTCCTTTAAGAATTCTAATTCAACACAACAAGACATGTTTGTGTTTTCAATTGTCAAAATGGTTTTGCAGGACACACAGTGTATCTGATTATCTAACAATAGTCATGAAAGTGGTGCCCCTGTTGCATAACTGCCCCCGTTCCTGAGTCTGTGCACACCACTGCTTGTTTTATTTTTTTAAATATGAGAGGACATAGAAGTAACAGTTGGGCTTATAAAAGAAAGGCTACAGAGGTAATCAGATGTTTGCTCTCACTCTTTATTGGCATTAATGTCAATAATTAATAATTAATTTGAGGCTTTTAATGTTTGTTCTGAATTAGATTTTTCACGAATAAACGTAAAATCTTTAACTTCAGTGAATATTGAAAGCAAGAATTGGTGCAGACGTTTTTTTGCCTTTTTGTTTTAGGTGGACTTACCTTCACACACACACACACACACACACACACACACACACACACACACACATATATATATATATATATATATATATATATATATATATATATATATATATATATATATATATACACTGTAGAATAGAGTATACTTCTGTAACCACAAGACCTATTTGATTACTTAGTTGTCTCATTTTAAAAGGAGCCCTTTTTGGATTTGTTGAGATTCGTAAATATTAGAATTTGTGTTATTGATGAAGTGTAAATGGACATAGAGCTGCATTTGTAATCTCTAGATTAGATTATTGCAATTCTCTCTATGCTGGGCTTGGTCAGTCATCACTGCGTCATCTTCAGATTGTACAGAACAGCGCCGCCAGGATTCTGACTGGGGCAAGGAAGTGGGATCACATCAGTCCTGTGCTGGTCTCCCTACACTGGCCTCTTGTTTTTTTTTTTTATCAAGCACGTTTTAAACTCCTGGTTTTTGTGTTTAATTTCTTTCAGAGAGACGCCCCTCCTTACTTAGCGGCGCGCTTGAAGAGAGATTTGCCTTCAAGCACTCTGCCCTCTTCTGATCAGGGCCTCCTTGTTGTCCCTCGCACTAAAGCCTGATTTATGCTTCTCCGTCTGCGTCAGTGCGGAGACACGCAACGCCATTATCCGTCCTTGCGTAGGGCTCCGGCAGGCACGCAAGTACGTACGGAGTCGAGCCCACTTTTTTAAACATCCGTCGAACGAGACGGATTACGCAAGCTTGTGATTGGTCAGGACGCCGCTGTTGTTTACAGCGCCGCCATTGCAAAGAGAGCCGAGGATAACTAGCGGCAGACACGGAGAAGCTTGAAGAATACCTCGCGAAAAAACTCTAAAAATATGAACGTTTAATTCTCCCGTGACTGGAGGAGTGAAAAGATGTGCAGCAAGCGTTTTATTTGTGGATGGAAATGACAGGAAACGTGGGTTTAGAGGTGGGGAGCGCATGAAGCGGTGGGAGAATGAGAGACAAATATGTCCGTGTTAAAAGTCTCTTATATACACAAAAAACACAATATAAACACACGATCTTGGACAGATACATGACAGGATACCACAGAACAGCGCTACGCCCTCTGTGGTCCTGCCGGGGAATTGCTTTGCAACACTCTCCAGGAGACGGAGAAGTAAAAGAGCAAAACGCTTCCGTCAATCCGTGCGTGTCTGTCCCTTGCGGAGCTGACGGAGAAGCATAAACCAGGCTTTAGTGTCGAACTCATGGGGACTGGGCTTTCCCAATCCTAGCCCCATCACTGTGGAACCAGCTGCCACCCGCAGTTAGGCTGTCTACCTTTTTGCCGGCTTTTAAGAGTCGACTGAAAACTCATTTCTTTCGATTAATATTTCCAGAACATGTTTGAAGTCAGCTTTATTTTGTGTTATTTTTAGTTCTTGTTTATAATTGCTGTTTTATTCCTTGTTAGGGTGCTTTTATTCGTTGTTTTATCCCTTTGCCTTATACTCTACAGTTTATGTTCTATGTTTTAACTTAACTTTTTATAACTATATGTCTTTTTACAATGTGTTCTAGTGCCTTGGGTACCTGAAAAGGGTTGTGGAAGGCATTATATATAAATAAAGCTTTGATTGACTGAAAAAAAGGTTTTTTATTGCCCTTGAAAAAAGTGTTGATTTCAAATTCTAGCTTCATCTTGACATTATCTGTACAAAGTTTGAGTCTGATAAAGTGAAGAACAACAGTTTTAGAGGTTTATGCACAGACGCTTCAGGCAAGGTTTCAAATGGCACAATTTGTGCCATTTGACTTTTCTCTTGTATAATAATATATTTTTAATCGTTATGTCACTAAATGGATTCAATACAATCAAATGCAGATATTTTTTATAATTTTGGGACGTTTTTTATTTTTACCTCCATATATTTCCTACAGATGAAAATTAGCATCTTGTTAAATGAATTTGCATCAGTATTTTAGGTTGTTTAATATGAACAGTCTTATCTAAATAAAATAAAGTGATACCTTTGTGCCTCATCTGTAACCCCTACTGAGATTTTGACTCCTTTGTGTCTTTTAATTAATAAATGTTATTTTGAGAAACGAACTAAATATGATTGATTTTGTGTCTTTAGAATGTTTTTCACAGAAGATCTGACTCATTACATGTCCATGATGATAATTTATTGATCTGTTACTTCATGCCCTGTTTGTCCAATGCATGCGTATGTTGATGAATTATCTGTGATAAATAGGATCTGCCCAGGCTATGTTCAACAACACAATTCACACCAACAGGACAATAGAAGTGCTTTGTTTTAACAGAATTGTTTCGTGTTGAACATTCACTCTTGCCTTACTGCTGATTTTTTTCACCAAGCACGCTAGAGAAAGTGTGTGAAGTTGAACAAACTCTGGAGCCTCTCTCTTGTCCAGTAGCGTTGCTACAGGATAAAACTTCAATGGTTCAAAACTATGTTCTTCTTTGGAATGATAGATGAGTTTGGACTGGTTGCATGGCCGAACCCTGAAGTTTGCACTGGAAAGGTTGAGTTCACCTGTGTTCAGCTGAAGTTTTGGACCAGAGAGATGTGGTAATAATAAGATAGGAAGATGTGTTTTCTGACCAAATCATTGCCCTAAAATATAACTCTGAACAGAGATACATTTTTTCACTATGAGTGAAACTACTTCCATTGATTCCTTAGATGTCAGGCATTACTTCATGTCACTGGTACGTACAGCGACTCAGTTGTACCGAGTGTTGTATAAACCATAAATGGCCCGATCTCACTTATTCAAAGTGATTCAGATCTGTTTATGTGGGTTTTTATGAAAGTTTATGAACTGTTACTGTTCTAGATTGCTCTTAGAGAACTTAGCTCTGACTGCATGGATTAACTAATCACAGCTATTCCTTGTGGGGCAAACTAAAGTCCTAAAAGGTCACAGTAGTTTATATAATCACAACTGTACAAAAAAGAAGGGAAATGATAAAACAGAAAATAGGAGAAACCCTGTAGTTACAGAATCACCTCTAGTGCCAGTGACCTGGCCCTGAAAACACAACCGGACTAGAAAATTCAATATCAAACCCTCTGAAGAAGTAATGAATAATTTCCACTTTCATAAAAGAGACACAGTGGGAGTGACGGGTGAGTGAGAGTCCTTTTGTCACATCAGATCAGCTGTTCTGGCCAGCAATGTAAGGACATTTACAAGTTTAACAAAATGGGATGGCAAGGCAAGTATCTTAGGGAGAATCCCAAACAGACAAGTCAGAGATGACTAGCAAATGAGACAGCTGAAAGTTAATCAAAAACTGATTCCCAAAATGTGGACAACCTAGGGGAAGTCAGAAACACATAATTAAGATTAGCTGGACCTAAGTTACAGTCAGTACCGGGGAAACCTACTCTTTGACTATTGTATCCTGTGCACCAGTTTACACTAGAGAAGGCAATGTCTGATACAGTCTTTGGCTTTTGCACTTAAAGTTCCTTAAGAGCACAGTGGCCTCCATAATGTTTAAATGGAAAATGTTTGGGACAACCAGAACCCTTTCCAGAGCAGGCCGTCCAGCCAAACTGTTACCGGGGGAGAAAAGCCTTGGTAGAGAAGTAAAGAAGAACCAAAGATCACTGTGGCTGAGCTCCAGAGACACAGTCAGAAGATGGGAGAAAGTTATAGAAAGTCAGGGCTTTATGGCAGAGTGGAAGCCTCTCTTCAGTGCAAGACACATGAAAGCTCGCACCGAGTTTGCTAAAAGACACCTGAAGGACCTCGACATGGTGAGAAATAAGATTCCCTGGTCTGATGTTTAACATGCTGCAAGAATGTTTTGGCTCTAAATCTAAGTGGTATGTCTGGAGAAAACCAGTCACTGCTCATCACTTGTTCAATACAGTCCTCACAGTGAAGCATGGCGGTGGCAGTGTCATGCTGTGGGGGGTGTTTTTTTAGCTGCAGGGACAAGACGACTGGTTGCAATCAAGAGAACAATGAATATGGCCAAATATGGATATTCTGGACAAGAACCTTCTCCAGACTGCTCAAGACCTCAGACTGGGCCGAAGGTTTACATTCCAACATGACAATGACCCTAAGAATACAGCTAGAATAACAAAGGAGTGGCTTCAAAGCAACTCTGACTGTTCTTGACTGACCCAGCCAGAGCCCTGACTTAAACCCAATTGAGCATTTCTGGAGAGACCTAAAGATGGCCGTACACCACTGTTCAACGTCCAACCTGACAGAAATGGAAAGGTTCTGCAAGGAGGTATGGCAGAGGATCCCCAAATCCAGATGTGAGAAACGTGTTGCATCTTTACCAAACAGACTCATGACTCATGTATTCGCTCAAAAGGGTGCTTCTACTAAATACTGAGGAAAGAGTCTGAATACTTAGAATTTTAGAAATGTATGCAGATTTCTTAAAAAAGAAAAACTGAATTATCACATGGCCTTGTGTTGTTGACGGGGGGTCTGAATACTTTCTGTACACACTGTAGATCTCTCAGGATTTTCAAATCCTAGATTTCCACCATCTAATGCAGGATATAGATGTAGGAAACAGTTTTCATGTTCACCCTGCATGAAAAACTGAAAAACCTTTTTTAAATGTTTTTTCAGTCAACCACATCCTTAAAGTTTACTATGAATATCTTGGCAAACAATCCTATATATGTGAATGCAGTCTGGCCATGACCCATAGACAGAGCTTAGTTGTGGGGCGGGATCTATAGTTGTCTTTTAAAGTGTCTCCACACGCTATTGGACAATGAACGACGAGACACACTCACCACTATGGATTTCATTTAATGGGGTACTCTGCCATGCATTGTCAAATAAGACACAAATGCCTCCCTTTTCTAAATAAACTTAAGTACTTCTATCTGTTTTTGACTCAAAGAAAAGCCCAAGTCTAAATAGTCCAAAGTTGATGCCAAAGCCATTTCAAAAAAGCCACCATCATCTTACTTGTTCCACTTTGTCACATCGTCCAGCCTAACAAACCAATAGAGCACTGTGACTGGCATAACACAACACTGCTTAGTAGTGATGCACCAATACCGATACTGGTATCGGTATTGGTGCCGATACGGATACCAATACTAGTATCGGTAAATTTAACAGATACCAATAACCGATACCAATGCATTTGCTTGAAAGTGGCTTCACTGCAACTTGTCATTTCTGTTCACCTATTATTTTAGTTTTGTGATCATTTATATGAACATATTTTACTTTATATCTACCTCACAGTTTTTTTCTTGTTGAAAGCAGAGAAGAAAATAAAACCTGTATTCCAATTCATAGCATTTTTTTTGTGGTAGAAGTATCTGTATCGCTAATCAGTATCAGCGAGTACTCAGATCCAAGTATCGGTATCGTATTGTCGTCATCTTCCTCCGCTTATCCGGGTCCGGGTCGCGGGGGCAGCATCCCAACTAGGGAGCTCCAGACCATCCTCTCCCCGGCCACCTCCACCAGTTCCTCCGGCAGGACCCCAAGGCATTCCTGGACCAGATTGGAGATGTAACCTCTCCAACGTGTCCTGGGTCGACCCGGGGGCCTCCTGCCGGCAGGAAATGTCCAAAACACCTCCCCAGGGAGGTGTCCAGGAGGCATCCTGACCAGATGCCCAAACCACCTCAACTGACTCCTTTCGATCCGGAGGGGCAGCGGTTCTACTCCGAGCCTCTCCCAAATGTCCAAGCTCCTCACCCTATCTCTATGGCTGAGCCCGGCCACCCTACGGAGGAAACTCATTTCGGCCGCTTGTATCCGCGATCTCGTTCTTTCGGTCATTAGCCAAAGCTCATGACCATAGGTGAGGATTGGGACGTAGATCGACCGGTAAATCGAGAGCCTGGCTTTCTGGCTCAGCTCCATCTTCACCACGACAGATCGGCTCAGCGTCCGCATCACTGCAGACGCTGAACCAATCCGCCTGTCGATCTCCTGATCCCTCCTACCCTCACTTGTGAAGAAGACCCCGAGATACTTAAACTCCTCCACTTGAGGTAGGACCTCTCTCCTGACCCGGAGTTGGCAAGCCACCCTTTTCTGGTCGAGAACCATGGTCTCAGATTTGGAGGTATCGGTTTGGAAAAAAGTGGTATCATTGCATCCCTACTGCTTAGGTCAATGGTAGACCTGCTGAGGCTCTAATGGTGCGTGGCTAGACCAACATGCACTACAAAATACTTTTGCTTTGACTAATATCTGTCTAGATTTCCAGGCTATTCTATGAATGAACATAAAAAAAGATGAAAATAACTAGTTATGTGATTTATAGCAACAACCTATTTTAACTGAGTTTTTCTCCTCAATGTTAAATCCACTTTGATGTTAACCCTGCTCAGATTAGCTGTTAGCTCATCAATTCAGTCAAAACGAACCCGTTTCTCCAAACTGGGGTTGTTCAAAGAACTATTCAGAAGATAATAGTTGTTCATAATCTTTCTACAGATCTAAAACATCATTTTTGTGTTCATAACATTTACTAACATCTACGTACGTTGCTCGGGTAATTCTTAGCATGTATAGCAGCTAGAATCACTGCTATGTTTCTGAGTCTGCCAGTCAAAGCATAGGTAGATGAAGTATTCAGGCTCAGCCAGAGCCGAGAGGTGTCTCAGGGTCTTGTACATGCATTTGGGGGGAGGGAAGGTGTGATGGCATTTCACAGAGGAACATTTTACAAGTAAAATTTCCTGAGACATAGTAAGAAAGGTTTCTCCAGGAACCGTCATGCAAAGGTGTTCAATCTTTAAGTTTTAAAATTGTAAGATTTCCTTTTTGCACAAGATCGGTGGTGTTTTAGTGGTGTAATCCAATTGTGCTTATTGTTGTTAGGCTACACATTGTTCTCCATGCAGGGTAAAGGGGAGGGTTGGCATAGGGCTGCAGACATGCGTTTACATGCATCAGACTGGCTTAGCCCACGCCCTCTGTCAGTGATCAATCATGTTTGTGTGAGCTAGCCAGTCTTTTAAGCTCTCTCTTTTTCTATTTAGAGCTGCATTTGTTTCCCTTTTTTCTCTCTTTCTTTCATTATTTTTCTTTGTTTCTCAAGCTCTGAAAGCAGGCAGTGCTCAGAAAAATAGACTACCGACCAGCCCCTCCATTCTCCTTACTCCTGCGCTTTTTATCAATCATTTTGAGCCTCTTCTCTTCGCGCAGGCGGGCCTCCTCCTCCTCCTGGTCCTGTCTGCACTTGTGGAAGTTCTCCACCACCACGCCAACAAACATATTGAGGACGAAGAAGCTGACGATGAGCAGGAAGGAGATGAAGTAGAGCAGCATCCAGGGGTTATGGTTCCTCACAGGCTGAGGGAACAAGATTTGGTTTTCACTTTTCATGATGAGAGCATGTTTGTGTAAAGACGAAAAGTAGAGCAGATGTTCCCTAAACATTACAACAAGCGTCCCAAGATACTTTTATTTCAATTGTACATTTTCACAAAATTCCCATAAATTGTGGGTCATTGTCAGCCCACAGCATCAGTTTCATATGAAAAATAAACACTTGATTTATTTTGTGTCTTGTGATTTAATTGAGGTTGTTGCAGAAGTTACCTCATGGTTCAGCATGTTAACATATCAGAAGCTTCATCGTTTAGCTTTATACCACAAACTACATCTGATTTCCTAAAGACCAGGGCCCTCATTTATCAAACATTTGTAGAAACGTCATATATTCCTTCCTATGAATGAAATTTAGAATTTGTGTACGGATAATCAAACTCCTAATTTATGAAACGTGCGGTGGCCTCTCATACGCATATTCCTCCACAGTCGTCTGAGGATAAATCCCATCTGTGTGTACTCAGGTGCTCGTGTTCGTTCTCAGTCATTTACATAAGGAAACCAAGCCCCCATAATTCAGGTCTGGAAATGAAGCAAAACTTTAGGTTACTGTCGTAACCCCGGTTCTCTGAGTAACATGAGTGAGATGTCTCACTATGGGATACGCCCCTCCGCGGATTCCTCAGAAGCACTTATCTCAATACGCCAATCCTGATTGGCCAGTGACCGTGACGTACGCGTCCCCATGCTACTATAAGTAGCAAGCGTCCCAACGCACGCACTATTCAAGATAAACACCTCTTCTCGCTTCGCCCAGCAAGAAGGGTTGTCTGGTGAGACATCTCACTCATGTTACTCAGAGAACCGGGGTTACGACAGTAACCTAAAGTTCTCTTTATTAACATTCGTTTCGATGTCTCACTATGGGATATAGAGACTCCCGTATTGCCAGACAGCTTATCCAGCGATCACCAACCTACAGGGATACGTCTTGGCCCGCCAAAGACCCCACACTCAGAATCGTGTGAGTCATTGCAGGGACCGAAACATCAAGCTTATAGAAGCGTGCAAATGCAAGTGGAGAAGCCCAACTTGCTGCAGCACAAATCTCCTGAATTGACAGCCCCCGAAAAAGGGCCCAAGAAGCAGACAGGCCCCTAGTAGAATGGGCCCTGAGCCCAACAGGTGCCTGAATGCCCTGACAGGAGTGAGCCATAGAAATAGCCTCCACAATCCAGTGGGAAAGCCTCTGCTTTGTGACGGGTTTCCCCTTACGAGGCCCACCCCATGACACAAAAAGCTGGTCCCCCCTGCGAAGGTTCTTTGTCCGATTCACATACTCCTTGAGCGCGCGAATCGGACACAGCTTGTGCCACCGCTCCTCCTCAGGAGAGGAGAAGGGCGGTGGGTAGAAAGCTGTGAGGATAATAGGAGAAAAGGAGCCCACCACCTTAGGCACAAAGGCAGGGTTGGGCTTCAAGGACACCTTCATGTCACCTGGTGCAAACTGGGTGCAGGATGGGTGCACAGAGAGAGCCTGTAAGTCACTAACTCGCTTTGCAGATACCAAAGCCAGGAGTAGCACCACCTTAAGAGACAGGATCTTAAGGTCCAGGCCGTCCATAGGCTCAAATGGAGGCCCGGAGAGGGCCGACAGCACCAAGGACAGATCCCATGAGGGCACCAGGGGTCGAGACACAGGGAGAAGCCTGCGCGCGCCCTTCATGAAGCTACACACCAGGGGGTGTTGACCTGCCAATTTCTTCCCAAAACCCAAGTGTCGGGCGGAAATGGCTGCTAGGTACACTTTAATGGTGGAGAAAGCCTTCTTCCCATCCAACAAGTCTTGCAGGAAAGACAGAATGACATTCACCGGGCATTGGAAGGGTGAGACCTCCCTGCCCTGACACCAGGCTTCAAACACCCTCCATTTACAGTCATATAGGGACCTAGTGGAGGGGGCCCTAGCATTCTGAATGGTTCGAATGACTGCCTGGGGCAGCTCTGCTGATACTAGTCCGCACCCCTCAGGGGCCAGGCCCACAGGGCCAGCCGTTCTGGATGAGGGTGGAAGATCGAGCCTCCCGCTTGGGACACCAGGTCCCTGCAAAGCGGCAGTTTCCAAGGTTGGCCCTCCAGGAGCTGGAAAATGTCCGCCACCCAATGCATGGCTGGCCAGAATGGGGCCACCAGAATGAGAGTGTGGCGCTGGGTTCGTACCCTCAGCAAGGTGGATGGTATCAGGGCCACTGGGGGAAAAGCGTAAAGCAGACCCCGTGGCCAGTCGTGCGCCAGCGCGTCCACGCCGAGTGGAGCGTCTCGGTCGCGCAGGGAGAAGAACAGAGGACACTGAGCATTCTCCTTGGAGGCAAAAAGATCCACTACGGCTGTGCCGAACCGGATCCAAATCTGTTCCACCACTGCTGGATGCAGGCTCCAATCCCCGTACAGGGGTGTCCCTCTGGACAACAGATCCGCCCCCCAATTCAGAACACCCGGGACGTGGGTGGCTCTGATTGAGAGGAGATGCCTGCTGCACCATAGGATCAGTCTGCGTGCCAGTGTGTGTAACCGCATGGAGCGCAGCCCCCCCTGGCGGTTTATATATGCCACAGTCGTGGTGTTGTCTGTTCTCACTAGGACATGATGGCCGGACAGAAAAGGCAGGAAGTGCCTCAGGGCCAGAAAGACCGCGAGGAGTTCCAGATAATTTATGTGTGTCCCCCAGAGCTCTCTGCTCCACACACCCCTGACAGAGCGACCCTCCAGGAGCCCCCCCCAACCTGACAGGCTCGCATCTGTCGTGACCACTTTCCTCACGAGAACCAACCCCAAAGGCACCCCTTGTGCCAAGAGGGAGGGGTGACGCCAACAGCGGAGCGCCGCGACGCACGCTGCAGAGACCGTCACCCTGCGCGCTCTGTGGCGCACTGGAGAGAGACCCAGAGAAGCCACCCAGCGTTGAAAATCTCTCATGTGTAGACGGCCGAGTGGTACCACTGAAATAGCCGACGCCATGAGACCCAACAGCCTGAGGCATAACGCAAACCGCACCGAACTGTGTAGGCGGAAGCGCGCCAGGCAGAGCGAGAGCGCGTCCACGCGCGGTGTCGAGAGACGGGCCGTGAACGCCCCTGAGTCCAGATTCAGACCTAGAAAGGTTATTTTCTGGGAGGGGAGTAAAGCGCTTTTCTGCCAGTTTATTCTGAAACCCAGACCACACAAGTGACGGATCACAACCAGCGTGTTTGACGCTGCCTCCTCTCTGGACCGTGCCAGCAGGAGCCAGTCGTCTAAATATGTGGCCCGTCGAATGCCCCTCCCTCTCAGAGGGGCGATCGCCGCCTCCGTACACCTGACAAACACCCTCGGGCTCAGCGAGAGGCCGAATGGGAGCACGGTGTACTCGTAACACACTCCCTGAAAGGCAAACCTCAGAAATTTCCTGTGTGGAGGGTACACGGGAATATGAAAGTATGCGTCCCTCAGGTCGATTGAGGTGAACCAGTCGTTCTGGTGAATCAGACGCAAAAGGGATGAGAGCGTGAGCATTTTGAATCTGTACTTTCTGAGGCATCGGTTCAGGGCCCTCAGATCCAGGATCGGGCGAATCCCGGTCCCTCCCCGTTTCGGGACCAGGAAGTACCTGGAGTAGAAACCGCTCTGAGACCGATCGGGAGGCACAATGCATATCGCTCCCTTCTCCAGCAGGGAGGAGATTTCTCCCTGAAGGATGTGAGCTGACGACCCCTGGGCGTGGGAGAACACTACGCCGGAGAATCGAGGAGGAACTGAGGCGAATTGGAGCCTGTAACCCCTCGAAATTGTTCTTATCACCCAATGTGAAGCAGAAACCGCTGTCCATTCCTCCATGTGAGTTGAGAGCGGTGACACAGCCGTGACACACGGAGCACCAGCTCCCCCCAGAGGTTGTGGGGCAGCAGTGCTCGTGGCAACCACTGCGCATGCGCGGGGGCTTTGTGCTTTGACGGCCCAGGTGTACGGGGACGACCCGTGGCTGGCTAGAAAGTCCGCCAGGGGCCGACCCCGCCTGGGACCGCTCATGGGTAACATTTTTATTGATTTTTGCTGCGCCCTTGACATTTTGTCTGGATGCGGCAGCGAACGTTTTAATGCTCCTTGAGCGTGACATGTTTGTGAAAAACAACAATGTGAGTGCTTGTGACGTGTGTTCTGAGCCGGCACAGCCGGCTGCACGTCCTGGCCCCACCCTGGACCGCTCGGGGACTCTGCCGGAGGGGTTCCGTGAGGGGGGGAGAAAGCACCATGGCAACGTTGAACAGGAGGGGCTGACGAACGGGGAACTGCCAGCTGCAGCGTCGGGAGGGAAAGAACTCCGTCAGGCTGCCCTCTTCTTCTTCCTCACCTGCTGACCGCTGGGTCGGGTGGATTGTCCCGGCGGCGGAGCAGCTTGGTTGCCGGATCGCTGAGGCCACACTGGTCGAGGCGCTGAGCCCGAGGGAGCTCGTTGGACGGCTTGAGGCTTCGGGCGCTTTGGGATCCGGAACTGAGGCTGGGCTCGGGGTATTGCCTGAGGAAGGTTCGGCCGAGCCGGCAGTGCCGGTGAAGGCTTACGGGGAAGGCAGAGATGAAGGGCTTCATCCTCTTTCTTTTTGGCCTCACACCGTTGCTGCATCGATGCCAGGGCAGAGCCGAAAATGCCTTCAGGCACGATTGGCATGTCCAAAATGTCCTCCTTCTCTCTATCAGAGAGGTTGGTGAGGTTCAGCCAACGTGCACGTTCCTGAAGCACCATCATGCCCATAGCTTTCGCCGTAGCCTGGACCGCGCAGCGCTGCACCCGCAGGCAGATGTCGGTCAGTACGGTGATTTCCTCCCACACCTCCGGGTCCGGCTTCGTATTCATGTCCTCACAGAGCTCGGCTTGGTACGCTGAGAGCATGGAGGAGACATTCAAAGCTCGGACCGAGATGGCGGCAGCCTTGTACGCCCTCTCGTTCAGCGCCGACTGGAAGCGGTCCGCCTTTGCAGGGAGAGCGGGAGGCCTGGAGGAAGTTGCCGAGAGTCGTGGGTGCAGGTGGGCTGCAACCAGCGGTTCCATCGGCGGCATGCGAAGCATGCCAGCCCTCTCCATCCCCTCGAAGTCCAGCGAGGAGGCTCCTTGGACCGGAGACCTTGAGCTGAAAGGGTGTTTGTCCCAGGAGGACCTCACTTCTTGGAGAAGCTCCGGGAAGGCGGGAAGGAGGGGCTTTGCCGCCCTTGTGGCCTGAGGCAGCTTCTTACCCTCGTAGCGGGACCTGACAGCCTCAGTGACCACGGTGGGCCAAGGGATGTTGAGCCTGGTCGCAGCGCGTCGGCAGACTGACTGCATGTCCAGGTGGGCGGCCGGAGAAGCCGCTCCATCCCTGGGAGAGGACGGAAAGCTAGGCATGGAGGCCTGAGCGACGGGGAGAAAGACGTCGTCATCCTCGTCCTCCTCTGAAATGAGGAGTTCCGAGGTGTCCTCGTCGTCTCCGTAGTCCAACTCCAACACGTCCTCGACGGGGTGGCTCGGACCGGCCAGTTCGAGCTGTGAGCCCCAGCTGAGTTCGGCACACGGTTCCGGCTCCGGGAGGGCATGTTCGCTGGCGTCCCCAGGCGGTGGCCCAGGGGCCGGCAGGCAAGGGTCCTTCCCCGACAGGCTAGCTTGGCGCGCTAGCCGCCGGCGAAGGCTCTTCAGGGTGAAGCAGGCACAGTTCTCACATGACCCGGGGACTTCCAATGCCAGCTGGGCGTGTTCCAGCCCGAGGCAGCTCGAGCAGACCTTGTGCGGGTCTTTGCTTGAGATTTTGTTCCCACAGGTACAGAGGCGAGCTCCTGAGCCATCGACTCCTCTGGTGGGAGGAGCGGCTTCCATGTTGGCTAACTGGTGTGTTAGCAGAGAGCGAACAGGTGCACTGGAGTGTGAAGCTGCTCGTTATGCCCCGAACCTATGGTGAAGGTCAGGACAGAAGGACGGTAAGTTAACGTTCGGCGACGGAGAGAATATTAGAAGGCTCCGTCTGTGAACAGTTGAGCTAACTTACCTCAGAGATAAGCGACCACCGAAGCGAGAAGAGGTGATTGAATAGTGCGTGCGTTGGGACGCTTGCTACTTATAGTAGCATGGGGACGCGTACGTCACGGTCACTGGCCAATCAGGATTGGCGTATTGAGATAAGTGCTTCTGAGGAATCCGCGGAGGGGCGTATCCCATAGTGAGACATCGAAACGAATGTTAAGAAAGAGAACAGGAAGTAACAAAAATTGCAGTTCCACCCTCATCCACTAGGGGCTGGTGTCAGAAGTGAGCAAATCCTCATTGACTCCCATGTTAAAAATATCAATTTCACAGTAGAAATAAACATGTTTACAGCCTGGTTCGAAAACATGTTTTAGGTTTAATAGATCTAGTTTACACTCATGACAACTCTGAGGGGGGTGAATTTTTTGTCACTCTTCTATTTAAGTGTATTAAATGCCTAAAATTCTGAATAATTAATGAGCATCAGACCCACGTGACCGCAGAGATAGCTCCGGGGAAAGGGCTCAGTCTGAGCCTCGGCCTCACCTGAAAACTGTTCTGCATTTTCAGTCTCTCAACTTAGAGCATTAGTTGTAGCGTTTGTGCGTTCTCTTTGGATATTATTTGTGCAATTGTTGGACAAAATGACTTGCTGTGGCATTAATTGCACTAATAGAGCATCCAAGGAGTCTCCACTTCATTTTTTTCGGTAAGTAAAATTATATTTATGTATTTTAGGTCACTGCCGAGCTGAGCTTAGATTTTAACATGTACTGTTTAACCATGAAATTTAAATGTAACGGGGTAAAACCCAGTGCATTTAACATAACGCTGCATTTTAGGAAATGGGTTGAAATATAACATGTTGGTGGAGCTCGGTTCCGACTATCAGTAAGGTCCCCTCCCCTCAGCTGCAGCTCGGCGCATCTCTGATCGCAGTGTCGCCTGTCTGCTGCACGGCTGCCGGCTTGTGGAGGTCTCGGGAGACCTCTGTGTTCCACCCGGTTTTACCCAGCGGTCAGCCCGGCGTATCTCTGACTCAGAAGCTCCGGTGTTGTGCACAGTTAACTCCGGTTTAAGCTAGGTAGCTACCTCCGTTAGCTTAGCTCCCACCTACGCGTTAGCTTTGGGTTAGCTTGTAGCTACATCGCTTCAGTCGACGAGTGTCGTCATTTGATCCCAGCCTTACAGCCCCGCCCTGAGCTCCACCTCTTTTCCCTTTTATGGAATTGTCTGGGCTTGACAGAACCTGTGAAATGGCGGTGGTGGCCACCTCCCATTTTGGCACAAAAACTATAATTGGAGCCTATGGACATGAATTGTCCAGTATATATGTCGATGACAGAAACACCACCTGCTGTATTTTTCCTGGAAAATAAGAAAAACTTTATTGACAGCGAGATTGAGACACTGGCTGCCGAAGCGCAAAAGAACCAAACAAGTTACAGAGGTTAGAAACACGGTCAGGACAGAGGGAGGTTCCCGTCAGGAATAAATGAAAGAATGAATATGATAAATCGTGGAGTAATGCGTTGTTTTATTTGGAAATGCTGTGTGAGAGCGCAGCCTCTTCTGAGCTGTCATTCAGTCTGGTTACCATGGCAACGCAGCATGTATGATTGGGGAGCACAGGAGATTCTGGGGGGTTCTCGTAGTTGTAGGATAAAATATGAACTGGCATCAGATTCATGAGGTCCCTCTGTCGTGCCACAAAGGGTCCCAAATCACAGTATAGTAGAAGGATTTCCTTTAAGATCAGTGCGCTAGCGGAGAACGCATTCCCTCCAGAATGCATGCTCAAACCTTCCAATAACACAGAACAGCCGTGATATAATGTCAGATTCCCATCAGTCACATGTGTCTTTTGTTGGTTTTAGCACCAGTTATGCGAAAAAGCCGTTTTCCCACCGACATAACTATTTATGGATGAGGAACACGTGGACGACTGAGACCTTCAGTACTGTTGGTACGCATGCTCAGAGCCGTTCTTATATTTAGAAACATTTCTATGCACCAGTACAACTAGGTAAATACTTCACAATGCGTAAAATCGGTCCAACACACAAAATACGCACAGATCTGTTCGTAAGTACGGTTGATAAAAGAGGGCCCAGCTTTTTGAAAAGGAGCATGAGGTAAGAATGACATCTTCTGGGTACCGCCGTCCATGTATCAAAACAAACATGTCCGCTCTGATTTGATCCGTTTCACAAAGAATCATTATCGAGACCAAATTACCTGCTGATCCACTCCAACTGCATCCAGTCCATCATACATGATGTTGACCCAGCCATCTTTACAAGACAGCACGAACAGAGACATCAGAGCCTGCAGGTGAAACAACACATTTATGTTAAATCGACACAAAGGACATTCACCTCTTCTAAAATATGGAAGCACTGAAGAACTAGAACTTTTTTCTTCTTTTGACCAACAAAAGACCTCGACTATTGCTATTTAAATGCTAAAGAGCCATTTCACACAACATAATATCACCATTGTATTATTTTATCCTTATATAACAACTTTGGTGGACTCTTTGCCTTACCTGAATCAAATTGTCAAAATTGTACTTCCTCCGTATCCAGCGGTAGTTGGCCTGTACACAATCAGACTTGTTGGTGATGTTTTTAGTGTCAAGACCTTCACAGTGGTAGAATTTCCCTTTGAACAGCTAAAACAGACAACAGTAGGACAGAGATCTTCAGGGTTATTTGGCTGTTGTTTACTTAGCTGAGTTGCCTAAATGCAAATTATACAGTCAACGGTCAATGCCGGGGATTAACGGATGTTTCAAAGAGCTTGTTTTAATCTGATGTTTGTTGAATGTTTATGGCTGGTGCTTTATTTATTTATTTATTTGTATTTCTGTATTCCCCCACACACCTACTGATTCTTCAGGTTACTTGAATTCCTCAAAGCTACAATTACACATCACCATCTTAGCACTGCTGACATTTAAACAACAAAGGGAAAAAGAGCTCAAGAGATCGAAACACAATGAGAGCAGTTTGTGGTTTACCTGGACCCCCAAAATCCCAAACACAATGAAGAACGCGCAGCAGATTAAAACGATGTTTCCGATAGGTCGGAGAGAGGTGATGAGTGTCTCCACAACCAGCTTTAATCCCGGGGCTCGACTGATCACCCTAAAATCAGAATTATTCAAATAATAACTAAAGAGGTTAAAATAATAACAGCAATGTGCTGTTCTTTTGTCCGGTGACATCAAACCTGAGTGGGCGAAGTGTGCGTAAAAGGCGAAGAACCCTTAGAATTCCCAGGATCCTATTTTCACTCGTATAGGCCAGAGAGACCAGAATGTCCATCAGAGACACAAACACCAAGACGCCGTCCAGAATGTTCCAGGTAGACTGGAGGTAGCTCTGCTTCCCAAAGCAGAAACCAAGAGCCACAACCTGATGAAGACACACGAAATTATTAAAGTAACGAATATGTTGGAGACGAAAGCCTGAACATTATTAATATGTAAGAAAATCGTACTCGGTAATGGTCCTATAGCTAAAATGTGAAAGTATTTACCTTAATGGCCATCTCTGCCAGGAAGATCACAGTGAAAATGTAGTTGGACACACTCAGAAAAACTCGCTCCTGAGGATAGGATTAAATTAGATTTAATGTGCTGAAATGGGGATAAATAGGTCACACAAGCCAGTCCAAGATGCTCTAAAGCCAATCTTTATCCGCGTACGTCACACATCACGTGATCAGGAATCAGAAAATCCATGTGTTAGGAGATCGTTTTGGGCCGCTGCTGTAAAAAAAGTGAGGCGTGAACCGGGTAAGCTTCTGCCGATCGCAATTCGACAACGGATTATGAAAGAACGGATAACGCTCGAAACGCGCAGATTCTTCCTGATGTAAGAGGTGAGTCTCCGCTTTGTTTTGTTAGTTTTGGCGTTGACATCATCATAGAGCACAACGTTCTGTGACTCTTAAAAAACTGTGAAAACGCTGAAAAACGCTGGCAGCGAAGGGCTCTTCTGATCAGGAAACAGCTGGCAGTGAATGAGTTCAATTCTTTCATGGTCATGTTTTTGATATTCCTTTTGTAAAAACGTTACAACTCACATCAGTAGGCATCAAAATCGGTTCGGCTTTCCAAGGAAAACTTTCTTTAACAGTATTTTATCTTGTCCCCTATTCGGCACGCCTCCTGATTCTTGGCCGTAAAGTGTTCCAGGCAGGATCTACCCAGGATGACTTTGTGACTATTAGAGGAAATGTGCCCAGTGGGTTGAAAATACCAGCAAATAAGATTGTGCGAGGATTTTTAACAAAAGTAACAACAAAAAAGGAGGAAATTTAAACTTTTTTAAAACTTCCATGCAATTTTTCTCCCATAGCCACAAGCCAGTAAATACCGGCCTTACTATAATTTCATTAAATTAGCCAAATATCAAACATGCACATTTGTTTTAATTTTGTTTATCTAAAGGCAGAGAAAAAAATTGAGGGCAGCTTTTGGTGTCACTGCAGTACTGCTGCCCTCCTCGTCTGCTAGGCAACGCCTCTTTTTGGTGCATTTTTTAAACAGGACAGGTGGCTGGAGTAATTGTTTTACAATTATTATTCTCACATTAAGTTGTTTGTTTATATGTATGGATTTCAAAGACTTACTTGTCCATAAGAAATGTCAAACATCAGTCTAAGTACATCCACAAACGCACGCCCACGCTCTCTGATTGACATCTGTACGTTACAGATCTACAATGCTATTGGTTAATACTGAGCAGCCCTGAATTCAAATTGCATGGGGCTCAAAAGGCAGTGGTCCGCAAATGATGGCTCGCGGGCCGGACGTGGCCTGCAAGCCCTCTCTTTGTGGCCCCCAAACTCCGCGCGAACCCCCACCCCCACCCCTGACGGCCGACCGGGAGGTGTATGATAAATAAAGCTGAGGAAAATAATCAAATAACCAATGCATGAGATATGGGCATAAACGATTCTGCATCATAGAAGAGTACGCCATAATCAATTATAGTGGAATGTGGTTTTGTTATTTTAACGGCGGCACCAGCACAGCATTCACATCTGTCAGAGCGGGTGTTCTCCACATTTACCGGATAGGAAACTTTGGTCTGACTTTATGTGGTACTGCAGGGCTGAGCGCTGGAGTTGTAACCTGAGTCCGAACCTGAACCCAATCAGCCCGATCAGTTCTGTTGGATTTGGGTTGTGAATTATGTTAATTGAGCGGGTTGTCGCGCGGCGCGCACCGCTCACTCGATCAGCGACTGAGAGAGGGAGAGGGGATCGGAGGACGCTTCTCCAAACATGCGTTACTATTTTCATAATTTCATCATTATTTCTCCTCGAAGCGCTCAGTCAGACGAGAGCTGTCATGTCGGGAGGTCTGGTCTTGGGGAGGGAGCGGGGTGAGTGACGGCGGCTGCAACGTAACCGTCTGTCTCTTTAATTTAGGGACACGGAGAAGTTAAAAGGAGAGAGAAATAGAAGATAGAAGTTCTTGTTCCACCTTATTCTTTTGTTTCATGATGATAAACTGATGTTAAATTCAGCTTAAAGAGAAACTGGGAGGAAGCTTTGGTTCATTTTAAGTTACAGGAGGTCTTGTTTCCTATCTGCTCCTCCAGAGACAGCATGGACATGAGGGTTACATAGTGAGGGTCCCACAGGACAGGTCAGTGCAGTCACACAGCTGAGCTGGAGGGGAACATGTGTTGTCCTGCTTTAATTTGCAGGCTTGTGTGTTATGTGCACTACAGCCAGCAATCCAAACTGAGGTTTTAAATATCACATGATTCCTGAAAGGAGGAAAACTCCAGATTGCTCCTCTAAGCTCTAAAATATGCAAGAGACATGGTAACAGGTTTTTCAAAATGAGCTCCTGATTAGATGCTTCTCACCTTGCTGTTGGTCTGAATATCAGGCCTCTCCAGAGCGATGGTGATGCAGTTGAGGAAGATGAAAACCAGAACCACATGGTCAAACAGTTTGTGAGAAATCACGCTTTGGCACCAAATTCGAGCCCTGAACACATAAATTCACAAATTAATAAAATATCTATGGAAGCACATAGTTATTGGAAAATTACAACAGTGGAAAAAAGGAAAATAATACTGATGATGTCTATATCAAAAAGTGTTAAAGATGTGAGTTGGAAGGATGAAAATCTGTCGAGTTAATTCAGTGTTTCCCTTTTGGAAAAATAAAACAATTCATCTCCTCAATAATAAATAGATTTTAGCCATTTTGGCCTGTTTTAAAGTTTGACTTCAAGGTATAATGTTTTTTTTCTAGTTCTGGTGCATAAATGAGAGTAGAACTGAAAATTGACAGGAAGTGTGTTTGAGTGTGAGTCTCACTGGCTCTCAGGAGCAAACAAGTAGAGCGTCCAGTTTTCATGTTCCTTACACCAGCGAGGCTTTATGCTGTGGAGTTCTCTCTGGACCCAGTAGCAGAACGGGCTCTGCAGCAAACAAGAGGTTACACGTTAATTTTGCTCCAAACAGCATCAAGTAGTTGCTGGAGTTTGATGATGTGTCTATAAACCAGAACTAGTAATGGCGTAAAGCTGGTGTTTGCATCACGGGAAAATGTTGCTCCATTACCGCCAAATTTGTCACTCAGAATATTTATTTTTTAAGTTAGAAACATTTAAACAAACTTCTCAGCACACATCTAATCCTCATTACATCAGTGTCATAAGATCTGATAAAACTTGTATTGATTAATCTAAAAGCTTACTTTTCTAATATCAGAATTAAAATGAGGTTTTAATCCCAAAGATAAAGGGATAAAGGGCAAGATCATCAAGTTAAAAGTTCTAACAGGCCACAAAAATGTCATATTAATGCTACAAGGGCTGGTAGTTAACACATTTTTATTGTGCTTAATCACAAGAGTTTTATAATTAATTTTAGATTAATCGCGATTAATCACAAATTAACTATAGATTATAAATGTACCATGACATGATTTTTTTCCTGGTTCAAATGCTATCATACCTAATATACCTCTTAGCAACAATCCAATCAGTGTGTTCTACAGAAAAGCAACACAACAGATTTTTCTTTAGCTCCCATCTTTGCTTTCCCCCTTCCCTAAGAGCCATGGCTATGGTAAATTTGATCTAAGTTGTGAGAGAAAACTTTGCCATAAAACATTTCAAGAAATAAAATGTCAAAAGAAGAGGAGTGTGCTTCATTTGAAAGTGGGCATGTTGCTGAAAAAAATAAACAACAACTTTTTGGTCACAGATACCCCAACTGCTGCTGATCATGAGACAAAAGAGAGGATAATTCTGGCTGGATGTGAACTGGAGATTAGGTTTTACAGCATCCCTGAGTATAATTTATTAAATATCTAGTTAAATGCATTAACCTTCACCTCTGTCTTACATTGTCTTTGGTTCACAGTCTTTCAATCCATGCTATTAATAGTACTATTGGTGTATGTATATATAATATGTACGAAAATATCCATACATATTGTCCTAAGTCAGTCTGTCTTTTGGTTTGTCTGAGCTCAGCTCAGAAGCAGCACAGCATCAGACTGCCTAATTTATGACTTTGTATCTAGAAGAAAAATATGTGTACATCTGCAGAAGACTGTTTCCATTGTTGAAATAAATTAAATTAAATTAAATTGTTCATTTAATCTGTGCCTATAAACCTAAATGGCACTAATAATAGTCATTTTTGCATTAGCGGAGGACTACAAAATAACCCTGCAGATATCGGCTTTTATCAAAATTTCACAAATTAGTAAAAGGTTTCATTAATCTGAAGCTAAGTTTTAAAGGGACTTTTTGGACTTTTGAATTTTTATGCTCGCGATTGCCCCCTCAGGCCAAAAGCGTAACGACAGCTTCAATAGTAGGCTCGTGCACGAGGTGCGCATGCTGTACGTGCACACTCCTTAATAAAAATAACAGCTGAGACAGTCCCGTGTGTGTGTGTGTGTGTGTGTGTGGCCCCGGAGGACAGAGGACAGGAGAACGTGCAGCTAATTAATTAAATAATTTGGTTCTGTACCTTTCTCTTCAGCACAGCCGACAAAGGTTTATGATGGGTCAGTCCTCCTGCATGCTCAGATCATTCCCTTCCCTTGCTTGAAAAATAGATCCAAAATGAAAGTTGAACCCACATCTTTTTTATCTGTGAATTCAATGCCGTTCGGCGAGTCTCAAATAAAAATGTGGGCGTCTTACTGTAAAAAAAATACCAATAATGTAAAAAATAAACTCAAAAATGTTCACACCCAGAATCAAACCCAGGTCTTCTACATGGGAGTCAGACATCTTAGGCCTAGTCCACACGTAGCCGTGGTTTTTTAAAAACGAATATCCGCCCCTCCAAAAACTTGCATCCACACCACCGCGTTTTAAAAACAAACTGTCCACACGTACCCGGATAAATACGTTGTTATGGACATGCCAGTCCTGTAGGCGGCAGTACTTCCCCCGTTCTTAACCTCGTCCTTCATCTGTGGTCTTCCGCAAGGAGAAGTAATTCCGCTTGCAAAAACAAACAAGCAGAAAGCGCTTGGACAATTGATGGATCGGGTAGTGACAGAGCGCAGCTCTGAGGGCTTCCATGATGCCGGCTAGTGTAAACACAGGTCGCACACGTGATGTCAGCATTTTTTTGTCGCGGAAAGTGACGTTGCGGACCTTAAAACTCCGGTTTTGTCCGTCCACACGCAGACACCCAAAACGGAGAAAACGCAGATCTTCACTTTGGCCGGAGTTTTTAAAAAGAGCCATTTTCGTGTGAAAAAAACTCCGTTTTCATGTGGATGACAGGCCAAAACGTAGAAAAATATCTACGTTTTGGCAGATCCCCGGCTACGTGTGGACAGGGCCTTACAAGGTGAGCTACACACCAGTAACATTTAATGTATCTGTAACTTTTATATCCTTGATGACAGCTGAAACAACGTCAAACCAAAGAACATTTTGGAGTGAAAATGGCAATTTTGTTGCTAATTTGCAGGAAATATCTAGAAGAAAGTTCTACAGAAAGTAGCTAAGGGTCCTCAGAAATGTAGCTAGGTTTGTCACTAGGTGTTAGGAACAGTGACAAAGTCGCTGAGTTGGCACTGCCTCTCTCGCTGCTGCTAAAGCTACGGATAGCAAATGCTACGGGCTATGCCTGAGCGTGAACGCGCATGAAGCAGCCTGCTCGACCCGAGCAGCTCTCTTTTTCTGTGATTTTACAGAAAAACAGGCAATCACAGTAAAAATGCCAGGGCTCATTCTACAGGACCAGGGCATTGCAGGAGAATGTATGAAGAAGAAATTTATTATTTCTATACATGTTTTGGCTGTCAAACTTCCATAATGCCCGTTTAAGGACTCTGCTATTAGAATTGTTTAAATTATGATCACAATAATCCAGTCCAGGTTGGAAGTGTTATTATTTATTGCCCCTCCTGATGACTAAGCCACCTCAACTGGCTCCTCTCAACATGGAGCAGCGGCTCTACTCTGCGCCCCTCCCGGATGACCACGTTTCTCACCTTATCTCTAAGGACGAACCCAGACACCGTGCAGAGAAAACTTATTTTGGCTGCTTGTATCCACAGTCTCATTATTTCGGTCACTACCCAAAGCTCATGACCATAGGTGAGTGTAGAAATGTAGATCAACCAGTTAATCGAGAGCTTTGCCTTACAGCTCAGCTTTCGTTTCACCACGACAGACCGGTACAATGCTTGTTAATGCTGCAGATGCAGCACCAATCCACCTATCGATCTCACGCTCCATTTTTCCCTCACTCGTGAACAAGACCCCGAGATACTTAAAACTCCTCCACTCTGGGCAGGACCTCATCCATGACCCGGAGAAGGTATTCTACCCTTTTCTGATTCATTTATGTAATATTTGCCAGAGCTTTGCCACAAAAAATTTCCCCAAGAGCCTGTGGACTCATCAATATGCTTTTAGTAAATGTGAGACGGGCCTTTAGGCTGTGTTTGGCCTTGGAACCCTTCCATGATGCAGTTTTTGTTCTTTGTTTCTTTCTTATTTATTAATTTATGACCTCAACATTAAACAACTGGGGCCTGAAGTGCTTTAGATGTTTTTTATGTTCTTCAATGTCTTTAGAGCTTTTTGAGGTCTTTTACTTCATGTTGTCAGGCTGGTTCTATTGAAAGGAAGTCTGGTGGTATTCATGTCAGGTGTGCCTGCTTTATCTAAAGAATGTAGATAATCACAGGTAATTCATGTTTTAACGTGAGGAATTATATTTTCACAAATTATCAGGTTGAATGCAGCTGAGTACACCTTGTGGAGTTTTGTTGTTATGAAGAACAGGAAAATGATGGAAAGTAGCATCAGAGACTTTGAGCCCCCTGCATGTAAAAAAAGTGGATTTTCTTTCTAAAACACAGATTATTACAACCTTAAACTGGCAAAGGTAAGACTGAGTTAACGCTTTTGACTTAATTAAACTAGCTTCGTTTGTTTTTATGCTGTATTTGCATATATTGGAGAACGTTATGCACGTTTTTGGAATAATTTTGCAGTTACCAGTCTGTTGACGTGATGCATAAGAATGATGATTAGGCGTTACCTGGTGGTGATATGTGGATAGTGCATCTGAAAACGCAAATTTCAGACTTAAAGAGCAAATTGCCTGTTACATTTTTTTCTAACTTATATAAAGTGCTGTCCAAAAACACTATTTGAAATGCCTTTTGTGGATGTTTCGTTTTAAAATGCATAATGGCACAGTTTTTGGAGTAAAAAGTGTCCTTTCTCAGCAAAGCTACTCCTTTTTCTAAATCTGAACCACTGACATAACCAAAGGGAGTTAGAAGCTAGGCGCTGCCTCAGCTCACTGTGGAGAGTGGGTAGTTTTAGGGTAGAGAAGTCATGTTATCCAGTCAGTGTGTGTTTACTAGTGTTGGATTGGGTTCATTTAGATAAACTATAGTTTGTGAAGGCTGTACTAACTCCAGCCTGTCCGGACATCAAGTCCACGGGTTCCCAGATAAGAGAAACAATGCCTCTACCTCCGTGCCTGAGGGCGTCTTGTGCAGCTGAAAAAACAGGAATTCTGTAGCCCACATCAGTCTGTGCCGGGACAGGGAGGTCCGCGTTGGGCTCCAGAGACCCGTGGCAGGGTTTAAAAATTAACTGCGGATTTCTGGAACTCAGACCACTGTCAGAACTGCCGCCTGTACCACCAGGAGAGAATGTGCAGCTTTTAAGCGACGGTGGCACAGGAGTTAAGTGCTTGCGCCGTAATCGGAAGGTTGCAGGTTCGAGCCCCGCTCAGTCTGTCGCTGTGTCCTTGGGCAAGACACTTAACCCACGTTGCCTGCTGGTGGTGGTTGGAGGGACCGGTGGCACCAGTGCGCCCCAGGGCAGCTGTGACTACATTGTAGCTCATCCCCACCAGTGTGTGAATGTGTGTGTGTGTGAATGGGTGAATGACCGATTGTGTTGTAAAGCACCTTGAGGGGTTCCAGGACTCTAGAAGGCGCTATATCAAATACAGGCCATTTACCATTTACCATTTAAAAATACCAGTGAGCCAGCCAAGCTGGTTTCTGGGTCAGAACCCTATCTGATCCACCGCAGACCTCCAGGAGACAATCATGTGCAGCTTTCAAAAATATGAGCTCAACTGGCTCGCTGGTGTCTGAATCGGATCCAGCTCATGCAAATCTCGAGTGGCATGCTCTTTTTCAACACACCAATTGCGCCCCACCCAAAAAATATTTCACCAGCCTCCACTGGTTGAATGGCTTTTTTTCCCCCAATATAAAATTTCCTAAAGTTGTCACTGCATTTGCTTATCTGAAACATTAAAGTGTGACAAATTCCCCTCCAAACGTTTCCTCTAAATCCCCCTTCAGATGACGATCCAAACTATGCCTTTAATCATTAGTACTTATTCTGTACTTTAAAGAACTACTTTGCATTAAACACCAGTGCAGCCCAAACTTAATAAATGCTGTGTAAGTCACTGGCAAAGAACACAATGTCTTTGAGAACAAGAGGAATAACACCACCCAACAATGCACAATTTCAACAGTGTTGCTGATGTTAGCTATTCCACATTTAAATCTATAGGGGTATAACAAACATGTGTTCCACTGCATAATCAGGTGGAGATAATTGGAACCTCACAGGTGGACTTTCAACTCTGCAAGTGAACAAGCTCAGTGCAGTCTCGTTGAGCTCATTAAGGTTTGCAATAAAACAAACAGAAGAAAGCTTAGGTCCACAGCTTCTGTACTTCAGGATTCTAATTAAAAACAGCCCAGAGTCAGGCCTCTCAGACTGCTGATTCGGCTCACAGCCGTGAGTTTGTGTGAACGAACCTGCAGTTTGGACCTTCCAGGAGCTGTAGAGCATGCACCATTTTGCACATCATGTGACAACACATATTTTGTGAACACACCAAAACGCTGTAAGTAATGAGCTTTCGCCAGCGTGCCCAGGGAGAGGGCTTTTGTTTCAGAGGATTTCACGGCTTTATGAACGCAATTTGAAGCCAATGAAACCATGAGCATCACAAATGAGGTCACCTAAAACCAACCTGCATGGGACTGAACAGTTTTCTCCATTTTTCACACACATGTGCACAAACACGTTCATAATTATTGTATGAACAAGTTAATTTGTACCCAATGCAATTGCTACCCGAGCAAATGAATTAAAGCAGGACAACAGGTGTCCCTCCAGAACACAAAACACACAATTCCCGACATTTCACAGCAAAAGGGAAATGAAGAGGACATAAAAATGCAAACAGTCTTTAAATGCTATAGATTATTTTTTCAGTAGTGAACCTGCGGGAAGAAAGGATAAATGAACATGTTGAAAATAAACCCAAATTCAAGTGAGAGATACATTTTAATCGCATTTCCCTTAACATGTTTTAACGCATATGCAGTTCATATCGTGATTTTCAAAGGATCCGGAATCAGGTGGAAAAGATCGGATACATGCAGGTGCTAGTCGGTTGAACCGGAGGCGCCTGTGCTCGGCAGCTTCGCCTCCGTCTGTGGCTACATCGTAGCTTTTCATCACCAAGGAGTTAGTGTGTCTGTGCATGGGTGAGTGACTGTATTGTAAAGTGCCTTGGGGGGGGGTTCTAGGACTCTACAGGCTATTTACCATTTACAATGAGCTGATAAATAAACGTTTAAATTAATTCTGAGATAGTAATTTTCAGAGGTATAATTTTTAAAAAGGTCCTCTGTTTTTAAGTCCAGGCTCAAGACCCACCTATTTAGGTTAGCTTTTATCTATTATTTATTATAGTTTTCTCGTTTTACATGATTATATTTTATTACTTGCTTTGCATCAGTGGCGGTGTCGGGGGGGGGGGCTAGGGGGCGCTATAGCTACCCCTGGATTAGTCCTTGCACCGCCAAGTAAATATTTGATTTTTTTTTTTACAATCTAATTTTAATTTAACGTGTGGATGTGATCATATTTAACATACAAATTAAAAATAATCAGTAAATTATCATATAAATAGTAAAAACTAAACTAAAACAGGAAATTGATGCTAACTTTTGACCTCGTTTTCCACCTGCAAACGAGTGAAAGGTAGAGCTAGTGGTAAAATGGACCGGTTTTTGTTGCCCAAATTTCCACGGGTTCAGTCAGAAATGAATGAATCTTTGGAAGTGATCTCAGACCCACAAAAACCTACGGATCTGGATGAAGAGCGTCAACCCTCAACCGCCGCAGCAGTCGAGGGTTTTGCCGCTGGAAATGCTAACACTAACGTTAGCTAACCTTGCAACACTATAGATGGTTTTCTGTGTGGCTGTATGTGTTTATGATTTCATGGAAAAGTCAGTGATTGCTCATATGATGTATATTAATGATTGTTTCAGGTGTTGTTGAGGTTTTGTGCACGCATGTGTATCTGCTAGTGTTGAAGGTGTTTTAGAGAACAATAGGTATGCATGACCACTTCCTTCATAGCACCCTCAATAAAAAGACTGGCTCCTTCATAGCACCTGCAGAAAAAAATTTCTGGAGCCGCCACTGCTTTGCATGTTTAATATGATTATATTTTAGCACAGTTTCATTATTTAAATTTATTATTTTACTGTCCACATGGGTTTACTTATTATTTATTTTCTTACTTTTATCATTTATATTAGCTCTTTTATTTTTATATTTCATTATGCTGCCGGGGCAGATGGCTCCTCTGATGGCGTTTCCTTGCCTTACCTTACTCGGCTTATCTGGACTAAGCCTAACATACATTTTTACTGATCTGACTGTGTGTGTGTGTGTGTGTGTGTGTGTGTGTGTGTGTGTGTGTGTGTGTGTGTGTGTGTGTGTGTGTGTGTGTGTTAATGCTTTTAAATTGTTTTGGGAATTTGGGGTCATTTTATTTCTGTAAAGCACTTTGAGTCGCACTTTTCTTGAAAAGCGCTTTATAAATAAAATCTGATTGATTGATTGATTGATTGATTGATGATTGATTGATTGATTGATTGATTGACCCCCATTTTGCATTTAACCACAGCTCTACATCAACAGGGCTCATGCCACAAACCCCCAGTTTGGCTTTTTAGACAATAGCTGTTGTCTATTGTGTTTTTTAGGCAATTGTTGCGGAAACTGCCAAGTATAATGTTCAATATTATATTTGTGACTAAATAGGCCCACTTTGTTTGTTTTTTTTCTTAGCAGGATGTTATTTTAGAAAACTTGGGTTCTCATGTGAACAAACTATAAAAACCATCAGGGGCATCTGAACTTTTTTATAGGAGGGCTAAAATAGTCAAATTAATAGTCCTTGTGGGCCACAAAAAATGTGCATTTCTGTTCAAAATCAAAGATTGAGGACCACAAATGGCCCCTGAGTAGCACTTTAGACATGCCTGAACTCAGTGTTTCCATGTTTTTAAAAGGAAAGAGATGTCACTCTTGCCGTTGTAATGTCCTTACCTTATTTAGGAACCTGAGGAGTAAGAAATGTTTGTTTTGCTTTTAACCATCATCTGATCTTTACTCTTACGTTTAGCTGCAGACAGGAAGAGGAAGTTAACACAACTCAGCATATTACTCTGCTCTCCCAGGATAACGCTGCCAGCTCCAGGTGTCTCAGCAGGGCAAGAATAATTGCTCTTAACCACTCCCACCCTAGAAAGTATCTGTTCAACCTTTTGCCTTCTGGCAGACGATCCAGATGCCACAAAAGCAGAAGAAAATGGCTCAAACATTTTCCCTTCAGGCCATTAAAAATCCAAACCCCTGAATTAGATAAAGATTGTTTACTAAAATGCAATTTTTTTTCCTCCATAATGTGAAATTGTTGCATTTTAATTAGCTTGTTTAGAATTTTTTGATGGCAAATTTTTAAGATGTTAGTGAACCGAGAAGGCTCTCCAGGTTCGGTTTTATTTTGCACCAACAATGAGATCAAAGGGCGTTAAACTCTGACTCTTGATTACTTACGTCATCATCGATGTCATCCTCCGATGAGAAGTCATCTTTAGGGTCGGAGATTACATTCAGGTCATATGTTTGAGTTCTTCCATTGCAGTCACCGTACTCTGTGGTTATGGAAGGACACATAGGCGATGGGGGCGCCAGCTCCGAAGACCCTGGCTTTAGTCTGTTGTTAACTCCACCCTCCTCGTTTTCATCCAGTCCATCGTCCTCCTCTCCACCTTCCCCAGACAACAGACTCTCCCTCTCTCCACTAGTGTCTCGCCTTTTCAGGCTAGGTGCTCGTCCCAGGCTGTTCCAGCTGGAGCGTCGGCTTCCCCATGAGCTGGCAGAGCTACGGAGAGGAAGAGGGGAACGCCTTCCAGGACTTGAGAGGTTCTGCAGACAAGACATAGTTTCTGAATCAGATTTCACACACCTTCTATTGTGTCTAGGTAAACATCACATTCAAAGCTTAGACTTGGTAAGACAAATCACACCTCCTTAAAAGACAACATCTTCATGAATTGGTCCGAGGGGTGATAGAAGTAAAACATTTAGTAACCTTTTCTATCCTAAGGATTAGTGTAAATGACCAAAAAGAAAAAGAAAAAATGAAACGGGCACCGGTGCACCTGTGCATGCTGACCACGCTCAGGTTTGCATACATGGAATATCCATTTAAGATACTTTGCATTTTATTGAGGCACCTTTTCTGCAAGCCTCAGTATCCCTACTGTATATTTATTCCTACTTAACAGTTGACTTTATTCTTATTAAAAAATGGTAGCTTCCCAGAAGGTGGCGGTTTAGGTAGGAACCAGATGTTTCTTGGTGTGATACCCATGTCAGAGTCAAGGGTATCAGCAGGTGTAGGTCCTTGGAACACAAAGTGTCAAAAAACAAGTCTAAAGTTTTAGTAGGGTTAGGGTTTATAATTCTGAAAATACAATGCTTTGTTGTTTCCAGTCGCCAAAACACAATTCATTCAAAACCAAAAAGATTGTGGACATAAATTCTCTGTCCATCCATTTTCACTCACTTATCCTCATTTGGTTTGCAGTGGTACTAGCTCCAGCAGAGGGGCCAAACCACAGTCTCCCCAGCAGCCGATATGGATGTCCAAACTCTCTAATGTGTCCTGAACAACCTGGGGTCCTCCTGCTGGCAGGACATGCCCAAAGACCTCTCGTGGGAAGCATCCATACGCAAATGCCCAAACCATCTCTAAAGTCTCCTCTTAACCCAGATCTGTCTGTTGATCTCCCACTAGCCATATTTCTCCACTGGTGAACAAGCCCTCCGAGATAAAGTTAAAAGTAAAGTCCCATTAATTGTCACACACACTGATGTGTGTGCGAAATTTGTTCTCCGCATTTGACCCATCCCCTGGGGGAGCGGTGAGCTGCAGACACAGCCGCGCTCGGGAACCATTTGGTGGTTTAACCCCCCAATCCAACCCTTAATGCTGAGTGCCAAGCAGGGAGGCATTGGGTCCCATTTTTTCAAAGTCTTTCGTATGGCTTGACCAGGAATCGAACCCTGATCTCCCAGTCTCAGGGCGGACACTCTACCACTAGGCCACTGAGCTGGTGAGATGTTTAAACTCCGGTCCTTAACCCTAGTTCGCATTTCACATTCCACCCTTTTCCAATGGATAACCATGGCCTCGAATTTGGAGGTGCTGATCCTGATCCCAGCTGCATTCTCCTTTACTTGGAAAATGCTTTATTTAAATTAATTTTTCTACTTTGATTGAAATGTTTCGGTGTAGGCTGCAAACAGAGATTTAAATTGCGTGCAAGACATAAATGATGTTGACTTGCACTATGAAGGGTTAATATAACTCACCAACGAGCGCTGGTCATAGGCTGAGGGGTCCATGGATGTTGAGCTTCCACGGCGAGACTGCACATAATCGGTTCCTGCCTCGGTGAAGCCCAGCCCAACCTCACCTTCTTGAGATACCCCCTCTCTGTACAACAGTTCCTCCTCTAAGATGGACTCGGGTCCCAAAGAGCTTTTGGGCGTGGGCATGGGCGTTGCTGCTGTGCGCATTATTATAGGAGGTGCCATAGTGCCACGAGGGTCAATGTGACCATTAGCCGTCATCATCAGAGAATACATCTTCAGCTCTGCAGAACGGAGCAAAACACAGTGGCGATGAAGCAAAACAAAAAGACAATGAAGAGTAAATCGAATGTCGAATCATTTCGCCTACCTGTGTCTCTGAACTGTTCTACCTTTTCATCCTCATCAAAATGGTCAGATTTCTTTTCATCATCTGATTCTGACCGATTAGCGTCACCCTAAAACAAACGCAGAAACACATATAAACTCGTTATTGGTCCACTTATTTTTAATAAGAGCCTCTGAAAGTTCAGCGCTTCGGTAATATCTGATGTTGTGTGCTGAATTTCCAACCATCTCTGAACTGCTGTTGATCTTTCACCACAAAAGTTACCCAATGAAACAAAGAAAAAAGGAGGAAAATTGCACAGCAACATCAGAGAGGCCTGCATTTCAAAGTGCACTTTGTTGTAAAACGCACAAACCAAAAGAGAGTGAAGTCTCTGCGTGCCCGTTTGGCTTACAGCTTTCAAGATGAATGATGGAAAACGCTGCCGAGAGCAGCGGCAAATCAAATCTGAGCTCAACCCTTCGGTGTACTCGAAAACCCAACGTGGTCGTTCTCACCTCAGCCTGGAAGCCTTCCACCAAGATGGCTACTAATAAATTGAAGAGCACGTAATTGCCAAACGTCATGAGAGCAACAAAGTAAAGAGACGCCCATGGGGAGGTAGAAGCCATGCCGTTGTACAGCACCACGTTCCAGTCCTCCTGGGTCAGAATCTGGAATTAAAACACACATTTTAAAGCACTTAGGAGGAGAGGAGACATAGTAAAGAAGAAAAAGAAGAAGTCAGAAGGGATGATTACAAAGCAACTAGGGCGGTGATGGAGGAATCATGAGACAAACCAAAAGCCTAAAATCCGTTATATGCTTATAAAGCAGCAAGGACGCACTTAAAGACCATAATGCTTCTGACTGGCTTCTTGCTCTGTAGTAATAGATTATGTTCAACACTGAATATTGTTATTACACAGAGAGATATGGGTTTTAGTTTAAACTTTGCTTTCTAAATTCATTTTGAAAAATTTGGTACATTTTAACTTTTGAAGTTTTATTTGAACCAGCCGACCCAATGTTTAGAAACAAGTGTGTGATTGTATCCATGTTCGAAGGGTAGCAGGATTAATCCCACTTTTACTACAATGGGCGACGGTGGCCGACGAGTTAATTGCCCACCAGTGGGCTGCAGGTTCGAGTCCCGCTCAGTCTGTTGCAGCTGTTGTGTCCTTTGGCTTAACTCACCCTGCCTGGTCTGAACGGTGGCGCCTGCACTCGACAGCCTGGCCTTTGTCAGTGCACCACAGGGCAGCTGTGGCTGCAGCTCATCACCACCAGCAATTGTGTGAATGGTAGTGTTGTAAAGCACCTTGGGGGGCTGTAGAACCCTCGAAGGTTGAAACACATCAACTGCATCCAGGTGATCCCGATTCACTAAATATGACGTTTTTGGCATCGGCCAACTAGACCCCATCTGTCTCTGATCGCTGTAAATGATATTTTTAAGTAGTCTATTTGTTATAATTCACTTTATTTTGCATAACTTATTTTCACTCTGATAATAAAGATGTCTTTTTTAAATAATATTTGTCAAAAAAGCCAAATCACATTGATCAAGATTCCACTTCTAATAAAAGAGGGTGAAAACTTTTACAGTGGGGCAAAAAAGTATTTAGTTAGCCACCGATTGTGCAAGTTCTCCCACTTAAAATGATGACAGAGGTCAGTAATTTACATCATAGGTACACTTCAACTGTGAGAGACAGAATGTGAAAAAAAATCCACGAATTCACATGGCAGGATTTTTAAAGAATTTATTTGTAAATCAGGGTGGAAAATAAGTATTTGGTCACTTCAAACAAGGAAAATCTCTGGCTCTCACAGACCTGTAACGTCTTCTTTAAGAAGCTTTTCTGTCCTCCACTCGTTACCTGTATTAATGGCACTTGTTTGAACTCATTATCTGAATAAAAGACACCTGTCCACAGCCTCAAACAGTCAGACTCCAAACTCCACTATGGCCAAGACCAAAGAGCTTTCGAAGGACACCAGGAAAAGAATTGTAGACCTGCACCAGACTGGGAAGAGTGAATCTACAATAGGCAAGCAGCTTGGTGTGAAAAAATCAACTGTGGGAGCAATTATCAGAAAATGGAAGACATACAAGACCACTGATAATCTCCCTCCATCTGGGGTCCACGCAAGAGCTCATCTCGTGGGGTCAAAATGATCATGAGAACAGTGAGCAAGAATCCCAGAACCACACGGGGGGACCTGGTGAATGACCTGCAGAGAGCTGGGACCACAGTAACAAAGGTCACCATCAGTAACACACTACAACGGCAGGGAATCAAATCCTGCAGTGCCAGACGTGTTCCGCTGCTGAAGCCAGTGCATGTCCAGGCCCGTCTGAAGTTTGCCAGAGAGCACATGGATGATACAGCAAAGGATTGGGAGAATGTCATGTGGTCAGATGAAACCAAAGTAGAACTTTTTGGTATAAACTCAACTCGTCGTGTTTGGAGGAAGAAGAATACTGAGTTGCATCCCAAGAACACCATGCCTACTGTGAAGCATGGGGGTGGGAACATCATGCTTTGGGGCTGTTTTTCTGATAAGGGGACAGGACGACTGATCCGTGTTAAGGACAGAAAGAATGGGGCCATGTATCGTGAGATTCTGAGCTAAAACCTCCTTCCATCAGTGAGAGCTTTGAAGATGAAATGTGGCTGGGTCTTCCTACACGACAATGATCCCAAACACACCGCCCGGGCAACAAAGGAGTGGCTCCGTAAGAAGCATTTGAAAGTCCTGGAGTGGCCTAGCCAGTCTCCAGACCTCAACCCCATAGAAAATCTGTGGAGGGAGTTGAAAGTCCGTGTTGCTCGGCGACAGCCCCAAAACATCACTGCTCTCGAGAAGATCTGCATGGAGGAATGGGCCAAAATACCAGCTACTGTGTGTGCAAACCTGGTAAAGACCTATAGTAATCGTTTGACCTCTGTTATTGCCAACAAAGTTATGTTACAAAGTATTGAGTTGAATTTTTGTTAATGACCAAATACTTATTTTCCCCCCTGATTTACAAATTCTTTAAAAATCCTGCCATGTGAATTCATGGATTTTTTTTTTCACATTCTGTCTCTCACAGTTGAAGTGTACCTATGATGTAAATTACTGACCTCTGTCAAAATTTTAAGTGGGAGAACCTGCACAATCGGTGGCTGACTAAATACTTTTTGCCCCACTGTATACCCGTTGTAACTCGGTGAAAAAGAAACTGCACACCAAACAAAAAGCTCAAGTCTCAGGAGACTAAGACACCTATTGAACTGTAAGTGTGAATGTTTGTATTTGTGTAGATAAATGTCAGTGATTCAAGATCCTTCCTGAAGGCTGCCTACTCATTAAACATGGTGGGCCAAATGAGTTGCCTCTGTGCTCCTCTTGTGTGAACCAGAGTGTGCATGGATCTCAGTGGATTCAGGCCAGGAAAAGTACAGCAAAGGTCTACAGTGAAGGCAACTACTTCACATGACAGTCAGCTCTGGATAAAATGCTTCTTCAGCACGAAAGAGAGCTCCTGCTGATGCATCCAGCAAAGAAAGCAGAAAACATAAGGATCTATTTGGAGCAATTGACCGATGACTCCATCGGGAAGGAGAGCAAAAACTAGAAGTCATAGTTAAGGAAGGATGCTGGATGCAATTAGGACACACACACACACACACACACACACACACACACACACACACACACACACACACGCAATTTTCAATGGAAGTCTTGCAGGTGTACAGTGCAAAGAATTAGTTAATTCCATCAGTGTTCCCGTTATTTATTTTATTTTTCTTATAAATATCTGCCCTCCCAAAAAACAGCGTCCACATTGTTAAGCACATTCATAGGTATGCCAGACCTGTAGGTGGCAGTAGTTATGCTGAATCCCATCCATTTCGTCTTCCTTCAACAAAACTTCAACAAAACATGAAACATGGCGCCTAGCTCATTTATGTGGACGAATAAGGAAGTAGAATTGCTCTTAAATGCAGTTTTATAACAACTTTAAGTACTACGTAAATGTAGTTTGATAACACAAGCACAGCTCCGAGGGCATCTGTGTTGTAGTGAAAGCACTGGTAAAACATGGGCCGTCAGCATTTTTGTACTTCTGTCCACACAGAAACGCTCAAAACAGAAAAAAGCAAATCTTCACTTTGGCCGGATTTAAAAAAAAACATTTGTTTTCGTTGCGTAAATATGCGTTTTCATGTGGATGACGAGTCGAATCGTAGAAAAATATCTTCGTTTTGGGAGATACCCGGTTACGTGTGGACAGGGCCTGAGAGAATATCTCGTTATAACTCAGAACTTTTGAAGTGTGTTTTTTTTCAACTGTTTATAAACAACCTCAGTTTGTAAATTAGGGATTAAATCTGATTGAGTAGATACGCTATCAGCTAGTCTGAGTGGGGATGTGACACAAGTGGATTAGTCCCACTGTAAAACAACTCTAATGATGGATTTAACTGCAACTACTCTATTTTAAAGAGAAAGTCAACCCCTACCAGAGTATTACTCCACTCCTACTTCCTGTTTGAAAAAATACAACAAATGCTGTTGCCTAGCAGACCGAGAGGGCGGAGACGCAAACAAACACACACACACACACACACACACACACACACACACACACACACACACACACACAGGCTCACAACTACATTGTGACATCATATGGTACCAGCTGACATTCTACATGAACATGAACAGATGTACAGGGACCAATTCTTACTTAGAAAAATTCAAACCCACCTGAAAAACAGTGACGATAGCCCAGAGTAGGGAATCAAAGTTTTTCCGATCAGGAATGGTGTCTCCATTCTCCAATCGTAGCCCAAATTTACATCCAAAAAGATGCATTCCCAGTATACTGCAGAGGAAGATGTTTTAAATGTGATGAATGAGTAACGATGATACGTGTAATTTCCTAGTTAGATGTTTTCTAAATCAGCACCTAAAAGTGAAGATGAAGAGCATCAGCAGCATGCAGAACGTCGCCACATTGTCCATGGTCTTCATCAACACAACCAGCTGTCTCCTCAGGGCAGGTAGGAAGCGCACCAGCTTCAGGACCCGCAACAATCGAAACGTCCGGAGAACTGACAACCCGCCATCCGCTTGACCAATTATCTCCCACACACTGACAAAAAAACAAAAAATGTACGTGTCTATAGAGTTTTTTTTATGCCAATGACATAAAAAAATAAGAAACTCACCTTATGATGACGATGATGCTATCAAAGATGTTGTACGGGTTTCGGATGTATCCAAAAAAGCCAAAAGCCAGCAGCATGAAGCCCATCTCCAGCACAAACATGCTGGTGAAAACTATGTTGCTGATCTCCAACACATCAGTCAGTTCTTCAGGCTGGAAGGGGAAAATGGGATTTGGGAGTGAAGAAAGGACAATAAAGGAACACAGAGGAAGAAAAATAAATAAAAACGTTAAACCCTCCAGCCTTTTATCACAGTTTTTTTTTTTTTTTTGTCTTTGTGCCCTGAGCTAAGACATTATCAATCAAGTTCTCTAGTCAGGCTCAATCAATCAAACGGAACCAAAAGCACCAATATCCCACTGCTGATCTACTTCACTTATCTCACAGTACGTACAACGATCCCATAAAGATTCAAGTGGACCCCCACCAGCCCCCATAAAGCATGTGGTCAATTCTTTTATGAGAAATGTAGCAATTCAGTAAACTGCCCTGCACTTCATGTGAAAACTGCAGCTTAAATGGAAAGTAGTGGCAGTAGTTCACTCTCTTTGGGCAAAACCATGAACGTAAGAAATATAGCAATATTTCTGTTGTCCTTGTTGTTCTACTTTGCGTGTATACAATCTAACACACCTGTTTCTGTGCCCCTTTAACAGGGTTTTCACTTTCCACAAAATAAATAAATAAATAAACTAGAGCTGAAACGATTCCTCGAGTACCTCGAATAGTTCGAGTACAAAAAATCCTCGAGTCAAATTCTCTGCCTCGAGGATTCGTTTAATTCATATTTAATTAATTTGTGGCTTTGCAATCGCCCGGGGTCATGTTTCACCCGGACCGAAATAAGTGACGCACATGCCCACTGGACTGAATGCACACGCGAGTAGCGAATATAACTTAACTTTCTCTTAACAACGTGGACCCCGGTGGAGTGCGAAAAAGACAGAAAAAGTCAAAGTTGTGGGACCATCTTTCACGTCGTAAGACGGAAAACGTAGTCCAGTATAAATACTGTAAAATGGATTTAGCCTACCACACCACCACATCGTCCGTGCTGCAGCACCTGTAAATGTCACTTCTGCAAGCGGACTCAGAGCCTCTGATAATGCTATATATTCTGCGGACACTGCAACTTTTTCGTTTGTAGCACTCAGTTTCAGCTCACACCGTACATCTGGTAGCAACACGTCGGACTTAAAATGTGCTAAAAATAGCAGTTTTTACACAATATGTCGGACTTTCTATTGTGTTATTGATGTCTGTTGTCCCTCTGGGTTTCTGCAGGAGGACACGGGTATTTATGAGTGGCGGAGGAAAACGAAAGAAAGTAAATAAATGTTTTGTGATCAGTATAATTTGACAAAACCACAGCAAACATGCTTTTGGCAATCCTTGTTAGTGTGAGAAAAAAAGTGTAGAAATTAAAACGGACGTGTGTTAATAGGGAAACAGCCGGCGAGCTGTTTGCGCCGTGAGCGGTTCTGGTTCTGTTTGGGATACAGCCGCTCGCAGCGTTATCCTCCTAGTTTTTGTCTGGCTTGCAGGCTAGCAGATTCTCGCACGAGGGGAAAATCGGCTCAGGTTGTTTACTTATTTTTTGCACAGGCATTTGTTTACTGTGAAGTAAAGTTGAAGTGCTGAAGTTATGCAAACTAATTTTGAATAAAACTTGAAGAATAACTGGCAATTGCTTGCTCATTTTAACCCTTTGATGCATGAATTATGAAATCTTCAACCATGATTTTTTTAACAATTTTTTTCATTCGTTTTTAGGTGTGAATGAAACAAATTTCAACAAATATTTTTTGTAAAATTTTATAATTTACAAATAATTTATTACATTTCCACCTCAGTGGACAGTGTGCATTCTGAATATGAAATATGTTGGCTTGACTTACTGAAGTCCAAATGGAGGGGCTCACATGCAATAAAGTCTTCAACAGCTGTGCTTAATAGCAAAAATAAATAAATAACAATTTTGAGTACCTGTCCACTGTAGTGACCATTATGCATCAAAGGGTTAAGAGGTCTTTCATAATTATAACATGCTATTTGATATCAAATCACTTTTATTGTCACGTCACATGTGCAGGTACACTGGTACAGTACATGCGAGTGAAATTCTTGTGTGCGAGCTTCACAGCAACAGAGTTGTGCAAAAATACAGTAATGTAAAAACAAGTAAAATGTAAAAATGGCTAATCTATGTATACAAATGAATAAAGTAAACAATAAGATAAGAGATATAAAATGTACAGAGGTTGGTATGTGCAAAACAGTGGCATTAATGTACAGTATGGAGCGTGTAATGTTGGAACTTGGTGGAGCTCGCGACGAGGCAGCCATACTCGACGCCATCTTGGCTCATCAATATATGATATAATGGTTTACAAACACAAAAGGGTAATTTATTAGAGTACTCGATTAATCGAAAAACATATTCGATAGAGTACTCGATTACAAAAATATTCGATAGCTGCAGCCCTAAAATAAACAAAAACAACTGCTGAATTTAATTCTTCACTTTATCTCTAATCTAAGCCCAGGCACAAAACCAGAAGTACCCATGGCACTGTTTCTAATGTCTTCATTCATATCGAAACCAAACCAAACCACAGAAAGGACCATAGCAGGCCTGTGTAGCTCTGCAATGCAACAATGTGAATGGTAAATGCAAAAACAAAATGAGAAAGACTGGTTGTACGTGAAGTTAGAGACAAGGCTACAACTTTGTTGTTTTTCAAAAGGTTATGTTTTCAGCAACCTTTGTGTTCTTTGATTGTCAAAAGAAAATGTATGATTGGTTGTTTTATTTGATTTACGTTGTGCGGCTGGATTATCTTAAAGGTGATTTATGTAAGATTGACATCTTGTGGTAAAATGTAGGTACTGCAGCCCATTTTCTAAGCAAATGGGTGACAAATTAGTCACTTTCTCATTTCTCGTTTCATGGCAGTTGCCAGTTACGGATCAGCACCAGAAGATTCTAGATGACGAGTGAAGACGAGTCATACTAAGTTGATAAGTAGATCAGTAGGTAATCGAAAAAGTAGCTTGAGACTTTTTTCGGGCCGACTATCTTTTTTTAATTCACCGTTATCCTCTACCCTTCTTCACCTGATATTAGAGTAAAACAAAAAGATGTTCCGTAGGAGTACAAGAAATTACTTCTGGATCTTTACAAAACGTTGCTGCATTTTGCCAGCAGGTGTCGAATTACAAATCCCGGTGCTGAAGCGTTAAGCCAGATTTCTACTTCTCTGTCTGCATCAGTGTGGAGACATGCAACGCCATTATGTGTGGGTGCAAGGGCTCTCCGGTGGTCTCACAGAGGGTGACGGAGGCATGCCCAATATTTTAAACGTCCGTCAAAAATGACGGAGGCCGCAAGCTTGTGATTGGCCAGGACGCCACTTCCTATAAATCTGTCACCAGGACAGCTGTTCCCCCATTAATAAGTGAAAAGATATTTAGCGGCGTATCCAGTGCAGATTGAAGAACACATAGTGGAAAAAGTCAGAAAATATGAACGTTTATTCACCCGTGACTGAAGGAGTACAAAATACGGAGCAAACGTGGACGGAAAGGATGGGAAACGCGGGTTTAGAGGGGGCAATCGCATGAAGAGGTGGAGGAGAACGAAGGACAAATTTGTCCGTGTTAACACATTAGTGTAACGTCCAAAAGGGTCAATTTTCACCTATATACTGACCAACATAGTCTTTCATCTATAGCATAAATCCACTTTCTATTTGGCTTTCTAAATTCAGAAGGTTCTGTTCAGTGCGTGCTTACTTACAGAAGACAAAACATCCAGACAAACATTATCTCCCAGGTTCCTGCGCTCTCTGCTTACAAGCCAGACAACATTCTTCACTCTCAATAAGTGAAGACTCCTAGAATCTTCTGATTAAACATTCAAAGATCAATCAGACTGATATTTCATATTTATATGGAATCATCACATCTTATTGGTCATAATTAATATGTATTAATTGCTACATATTATGGCGAGTCAAGTCCAGTCTTCATCAAATCATAACACTTCGTGATAATTCATTCAAAAGTTATTATCCTCTTTACTGAGTTTTCCGCTCTGAACCAGACTGAGCTTCTGTCTCTTTTCCTCTCCCTGTCTGACGGCCAGGGAGGTGCTTTTCTTGAAGAGCGCTGACTCTTCACAACCAAGTCTGTGTCATTCTAATCGTCTGCTTTCAACCTCATTTAGTTTCTAAAGGAAGTGAATGTGTTTTCATTTGAATGTGATTTTGTCACTTTTCTTTTCTGCTTGTGTGTAACTCGCATCAGAGAAAACTCTTGACGTCGCACAGAGCTAAACTCATATCCTAGTCTGATCACCTGCGGTAAGAAATAGTCCGAAGCAAATACTGGGCACAAAATAGCCATTTTTGGTTAATATCCCAGACGAAACACATCTGAAGCCGTGATCATAGTCTGTGGACACGCCACAGAGGCGCACATTAACTATTCCCATCATTGTTAAGCTTATGATGGCTTTCCAAATCCGTATGGAAGAACGGTCACGACGTAAATTCCGTGAAACTCCCGCTATACGACAATTAATTACGAGAGCCTATGAAAAGGAATGCCGTATGTCGGCAACATCCACACCGTGGTCAGATCTGCAATTTGATTGGGTGGGGCCCCTGACCTATTCCAGCAGAGGTAACAAATACCTCTTGACCGTGACCTGTGCATTCACTAAATGGGTTGAATGTTTACCAGCACCTAACGACATGGCACAAACAACTGCTGTCCTTTTGATGAATGACATCATCTCCCAGTTTGGTCTCCCCGCACGTGTTACCTCGGAATAGTAAATACACTATCAGAGACCGGATACACGAGTATTATGGTGGCATGATACCACAGAACAGCGTTACGCCCTCTGTTGTCCTGGCCAGTGGTGGTTTTACCATTAGGCATAGATCGGCGGCCAGCTGGGACCCCCCTAGCCCTGACCGCCGGCACCCCTCTGTTATTGCCACAATGGACTATTCCTTTAAGACGATGATGCACAAACAGGAAGCGATTGGTAGTCATTCCACTCCAATCCAGTTGGTGGTAGTAATCAAATTGTTGTTTGTCAAGTGCCATAAGACCACAAATAAGAAGAAGAAGAGAGGAGGGA